GTTGAAACTAGTGGGGTGTGCAGCTTCCACAAATGTATTGTAATTGAAATATCATCATATCCCTTTTATTGTGTTTGACACTAGGTAAAGGTAATATACATACACGCACAGAGACACATCCTTTTAATATATTCCAAAGCTCTGCTTATAACAGGAAAACTATATAAAGGTACAAGTATTTTAGTAACTTCCTGTTGATTCTCTTATAACCTAATGACAAAGGTTTACTTGCATGCCCCACCATTTAGGAACTAAGCTTGGGTATGCTTCGGTCTGATCTCATGCTAGACAATCATTGCTGTCCTATCGACTCGAAATGCAAATTAAACGGGCAAGCATTCTGTTGCTGGAAACAAGTAGAGCTAAATACTATAGCTTCAGGGTTTGGTTGGTTGGGTCCTGCTTCAGGTTTGCTCCATAGGTCAGTATTTCTTACTATCGGTAGTTTTTTGTCCTTCAGGTCGGAACTTTTGATTGGGATAGCGCTAATCTACAACAAATGACCTCAACACTCACGGATGAAATGTTTAATCCATGAAAAACACCTGAATTATTTTACAGCAAACTATTCTCGGCCGATGGCTCGGCTTCTGGTTGGTGGAACCTTTGTAGATATTTAAAAGCTTTCTGGAAGGATCAAGAATACAAAAGTTCCGACTCCTGTTAAAAGATTTCAAATCCTCTTATAAATATTATCTTTTCCATCCTAAGGGTAAATATTTTGGTTCAATTTTTCTTTCCCTGACTGAGTTCTTGTCAGATGGTTTTATTCTTTATATTCTTTATTTTGTTTTAAAAACAAATGCCAGAATTTTTACCCATACTTTAACTGAACATTTGCCAAGGCACAGGGGATTATATTTTCCAAGCAAATTTGTGTTTCCTTACTTTAAATGTAAAAACAGTAAATAATAAAATAGTGTTTTAAATATTAACACTAAAAAATTGATTTGGATTTTCAACAAAATATTCCGGAAAATATACACTCTACAGTCTTATCACAAGTAACCTTCAACAAAGATAATATTTCAGAAAATATTTATAAGAAGATTGATTTGTAACTACTGCATGGGGGAAATACGCTTCATCTTATGATTGTGGCATGTTTTCTGATTTTGAATACTTTCTGTTCCGACAATCAATTTTCATGCTTAAAGGTCATTTTTTTATCCCCAACTATCCAAAAAACAAACTCAGTTTAAACCAAATATATGCAGATGCACATATTTCTTAGCATTAATTTGATCCTCACCCTGCAGCTAAAGTCTTTACCTACTTGTTACCATCTGAGTCAAATGCTTCTGATTGTGCATGATTCTTCAGGCTTAGAACCATACCCAGACCTGGCTTATGTACACTGCAAGTAAACCTGCTTGACCTAATTTCAGGTGATTGAAGCGGGACTTTTTCGATCAGACTACTTTTATTGCCAAGCGAACAAGGGTCTGAAGCAAGTTGAGTTTAACACGATAGCCTCCAGCTTTGGTTGTTTGACCTCTAAACTGGTGGATCAGCACAAGTAGGGATGACTTTAGCTGCAGTTATAGAATTAACTCTAGTAAAGAATTAGAAATAGTTTTTTTGTTGTAGATTTAGATAATACGATTAGGTTTTAAGGGACTGTAAGCGTAATAAGTCAATGTCCAATTTACAATTGTACCCTTTCAACTTTAATCTGATTAAAATATGGAAGATACCGTTATTTTTCTGATTTCAAGAGTTTTCAAGAGTTTGGTTTTGTAAGTTTCTCTGTTGCTTTTTAAAAACAAGAAATGCACGATTCACTAAACCACAGAGAACTTGCAAATGAAAATAAACAAATTCAAAGACAAAAACAATGATTCCAATGTCATGCTTGATAAGCCAAAGCTTTCAAGGATACCCTTTTAAATTGGGCATTGCCATTTTTGCATGGAGGATCACTTAAAATTATGCTTACAGTCCCTTTAAGTTTTCAATCTTAATTTCTCATTTTACAGTTTGCAGTTGTTTTCTAAATCTCTTGTTGGCTTAAATTCTTGACCTATGAGACAGGAGAGAATTAGATCAACTTAGTTGAATTGATTTAAAGGGACTATAATTTGCCACCTATAGACTGATGTATCTGATTCCTAACGGTACCCTCAACAGCTTTATCTTATCAAGAATGTAAGAGATATCCATAATCTCTTTTAAATTGACAATTTTCTTGATTTCTAAAAATTGGCCTCAGCATTTCTTCTTCGGAAAACAATGGTGTAAATTGTCAGCATGCTAATATAACGATGATATTTTCCACATTTTTGATCAAATGTTAATTAAATGGGTACTGTTGTGAATTGGACATGCCCCTCTCCAAGTGAAAATTCACTTAAAATTACAATGACAGTCCCTTTAAGCTTGCTAGATCCAATCAAAGCTACCAAATAAATTTCTCAATGATTTTCACCATTATTGAAGCAGGTCCATAATTTTTGCAAACCTTTTCTTAAGCTAAAACCAAATTCAAACAAGGTAAATTCAAAGTGAAACCAACATAATTTTACTATTTTTTAATTCACGTTGTCAATAAATTAACTATAGAAGTAGCTAGAAAAAGTTTTAGTTTGCTCAAGGTTATAATGCAAGGAAAGTTAATTGCAGTTGCGTATACTCTGAGTTCATATTGAAACCAGTTCTCTCTGGGCGGAATTTGTAAACAAGAATTGACACATCAATGTTCGTTTAGTATTAGCATTGAATTTTAAAAACTTTGATAATTCACATAATAGTTTCCTATAACCAACATATTACATTGATTTTTTATGTGAAAGATGGATCCCAAGTCAGGCTGTGAGTCTTGTGTTTACATTACCGCCCAGAGACAGAACACTGCAAAGATGCGTACACCTCTAAAGTAACTTTCCTTGCATTTTAACCTTGAGTATGCTCAACTTTTAAACTTAGGATTAGGGATCACTTTTCTAGGATGTTGTAATAATAGATTTAGTAATTAATGAATGTCCACAAATTTTATTTGTTTTATCTTTCTTTCTCATTTTTGAATTACTTATGCACCGATCAGGCGACTTATTTTACAACAATTAAAAACAAAACAAAAATTATTTGACTAAGGCTGTAACTTTTATTTTAGATTGCAAAAATTCTCAATAAATATCCATGACTCAATCTTTTTGAATTCAGGGAGTTTATTAAACTTTTCAATGTCAACTTGGATTAAACTTATATTAGTTAAACACACTACTGAAAATGGACCATCAGGTTTCAAGCCAGAACACCTACATTTTTGGGGGGGAATATATTAATATGCAGTAAACTGAATTATAATCTCAATTTTCAGACAATCGAGAGAATTTTGAGTAAATCCATTTTTAAGAAATCTTAGAAATCAAGTGTATACATAGGTCTAAAAACATATTTATCTATAGTTTCAAAACTTGACTAAGCTGATTCTGTTTGTTTTTTCGATATTTTTAAGTGAAATCCTTAAAAATCACATCAAAAAGACTTTTTCAGACCGTATCTCATCAGTCAGGCAGTTGACTTATTGCTTTGATTTTTAACTACAATATGTCTTATGACTGTTCATGAAAATGTTCAACATTTGGGGACTCTGCCATTAACAGTTTAAAAAATACCGCAAAATAACCCAGAAGAAAGAAGCATATTAAGGTACGTCTTAAAACTAAATTTACGGTTGATTTTAGACTTGTAAATGCACTTGAGTTATCTTAAAAGTGAATTTGCGGAAAATTCCCTGAGTAACATTTTCAAAAAAAATGAGACTAAACTTAAAAGACTGCATATTAATTTATTCTGAAGAAAAAAATAAAGTGTTTTGACTTGAAACCTGATGGTCCATTTTCAGCAGTGTTTATAATATAATTCGTTCAAACTCCTTTATTAGTGGATTTATTATATAAAAGTTGAGAGCTCTCTAATGGTAGTTTAAAAAGAGCTTGCTTAACAATCTGTTTACATAAAGTTGGAAAAATAATTATAATTTAGATATGTTGTACAAGAGGCAGGATATCCGGAGCATTTGAAAAATGTAAGTTGAATAAAAACTGAACAATCGGTTAATATTGTTAGTGCTTACAATCTGTTAAATCTATTATGATGTTTTTTTGTATCATTCAATAAAGTATTTAAGCCAATGGTCTCTGCGTTTTATCAAGTGACCCAAAATTTAAATAGTAGCTTACATTATTCTTAACAGATTATTTTGTCTATTTCCTTTTTTGTCTCTATTACAATAATCCGTATCACTTTAAAAGAAACCACAATTGAAATTGTTATTTTTCATGGATAGAAAAACGATGATATCTCGATCCTTTTTGCCCTTTAAGAGCTTCTAAGGCCAAGGAATTTTTCCACTAGTTGCGGACTTAAAGATAGTTATTTTTTAAAGATCCCTGAGAACAACGCCTTGTCTGGACTAGCCAACGCGCTGGTCAACTCCTGGAAACTGTACAATCAACCTAAATCCGTCATACTCTTCCTGGTGGAGGATGTAACCTACAATATCTGCGACCAGAAGTTCCACGAATTTGAAATCAGAGAACAATGCCCCGAGGTTTTTGTAATTCGGAAAACTTTGACAGAGATTGGAAACCGAGGGAAACTTACGGAGGTAAGCTAAGCAAAAACTTGACTTTTTCGAATAACTTATTTAAGTTATTTTGTCTTGCTTTTCATTTTTTCCAGCCTATTATCCAGTTATTATTTTACATATATAATCTGTAGTTGTTAAATTGAGTTTGTTATTATGTCTTAAGGAAAACAATTAAAAAGTTTTTTGGCGAAGCAAAGAGGAGAAAAATTATTATTTCTTTGAAAACAAAGGGAATCTAATATAAAACCATTGAATATTTAATTACAAAATCATTCTATATTAATATTTTGTGTGCAAAAAAAATCAAAAAACAATTAAGTAAATTTGATATTTGTAAATAATTAAATATTTTTTTAGGATAAAAGGTTGATTATTGATGGACATGAGGTTGCGGTAATCTACATGAGATGCGGTATGAACTATAAATCATAAATAGACAAAGTTCGTCTTTATATTCGAGTCGATTCTGGTCACCACAATATTTAAAATTATTTAAAGTCATCTTGTATGACCTTTTTTTGGATAAAATGTTACTACAGTGGTAGGCGATTATATCAATATAATGAAGACTACTTTTGATTTTAATTTTGATTTTTATCAAGCTTTTAAACGGCATGGATACATAAAACATGGAAACAAAGAGAATCTATCAGTTAAAAATTATTCTCTTTCATTACTTGTAAACTTGCAATTCGAAAAAAGCTTCTTAACAATTAAAACTTATATAAAGAGACGTCTTCATTCTATTGATATAATCGCCTACCACCGTATAACAGGGTAACCTTCAAAATCTAAATATTTATTTTCAAAAATAATTGAATATATGTAAAATACAGGAAGTCCCATCAAAAAGTGTAGAGAATTATAGTCTTCTTGAGTCTTGTTGAGATTAACTTTGATTTGAGTTGTGATACCAAAATTAATTTATTTTTTTGCGAAAGAAACAAAATACCAAGTTTGATGTCTTTGATACTTTATGGCCTAGGTTGCACCTTTGATACTTTATAGTCTAGGTTGCACCTTTGATACTTTATAGTCTAGGTTGCACCTTTGATACTTTATAGTCTAGGTTGCACCTTTGCTAGGTTGCACCTTTGATACTTTATAGTCTAGGTTGCACCTTTGATACTTAATAGTCTAGGTTGCACCTTAAAAGCTCAAAATTCTTTTTCTTTTTCCGAAGATGCTGGTTAAACTATTTGCTGTAAAACAACGTCGATTACACAAAATATTGCTGAAAATTTGTTTTTTATTTAATTTCAGTTTTATGGTTCGTACTGTATATATGGTTCGTACTGTATATATGGTTCGTACTGTATATATGGTTCGTACTGTATATATGGTTCGTACTGTATATATGGTTCGTACTGTATATTATGACCTTTTTTCTAATTTATTTGAATCTGAGAGGTGTAAGACGAGTTTGTTTCAGGATACCACCCGGACCAGTACCCGTCTGAGGTTGAGTGGGATGCCAGGTTTATGATGGAGATGTCTCTAGCGATCAAATCTCCGAGTGTACATTATCATCTGGCAGGGACGAAAAAGGTTCAGCAGGAGCTAGCCAAGCCAGGAGTACTGGAGAAGTTTCTAGGTGATAAGGCCAAGATTGAATCCGTCCGAGATATTTTCACTGGACTCTACTCTCTTGATAAGGCAAGAAATAAATTATTTATAAGTCTAAAATTGGTAATATTAAATATTATTTATTCTCAGGATGAAATTGGAAATGCCTCCTTCCAGAGGGCAATTGAAACCCCGGAGAAATTCGTCCTAAAACCGCAGAGGGAGGGCGGTGGAAACAATGTTTATGGAGCAGATATAAAACCCTTCCTGGAGAAGATCGCGGACTCGGATGAAAGGAGTGCATATATCTTGATGGACATGATTGAACCTCCCATCACGACCAACTACATGGTTCGCCCCGGCGAGGCCCCTTTACTCGCCAAGTGCATCAGTGAACTTGGAATTTTCGGATATGTGATAGGGTAAGTTTAAGAGAATTGAATCCTTTAAAAGGGACTATAAACGTTATTAGAGCGGCATGTGCGAGTTGCAATTCTGTTTCTGATCAAAAATTAATGAGCTACTTATTTTTCTCTTGTTTAAAATTTCACTATTTTCAATTGTGGTTTCTCTATGAAAATCGAAAAAACAAAAAATAATCCATTACACATTGTTGTTAACAAAGAATACAGTTATTTAAGACGGCTGTTTAGAATTATTCAGTCTTAAAAATTCATGACTCGCTATAGCAGTAAACTCATCTTAATCAACTGTCACGTCACTTGTTGCCATATGCATCGTATACTGCCTAATGGAAAAAAAAAAAAAATTTACCATAAAAACGACGTTTATATAAGCTATAACAGCCATCGAAATGAGACTTGAGGACATTTCTCTGTTGGATCCTACAACAAAATTACCTCTGAGTGGGTCACTTGATTATAATAGCAACCCTTCCTGTATGGGAAAGTAAAAATGTGCGGTTAAAAGCAGGGAAGCTATTGCTCCCTCGCTGCAAATAGAAACTAACTTGAAGTTCTAGTAGTTCTAGGAATGGTGACCTAGCAAACGCAAGTAGACAGAATGTGCAGATCTGATACTGCAATTACACATATGCAAAACAACAAAAAAACTGAGAGGGGGACATGTAAACAATGCCTTATAATGGCGCGAAGACAGTGATCAAATCATAAATATTCTTTCAAAAACAGTACCATAAATGGACGGGCAAAGGGAGGCAAGAAAAAGAGAAAACCATGTTAAAAAATAAGCAATAAAAGCTCATTCCTTATGGGTAGCTCTGTACTTTGAGACGATGCTTACTTTCTTAACTTAAATCTTAAATGATGAAACCCTTTAATCCAAGAGTAATTTCAAAACAATTTTTTTTCTTTTGCCAATCTCATAATAAATTTCTTATTTTTAGAACGAAAGATTCCATATTGGAGAATAAACAAGTTGGTCATATGCTGAGAACAAAACTAAGGTAATATTATGATAAAAGTGGGGGGGGCCTTGCGTCTAATTAAAGGTAAGGTAGGTCATTGTCTACTTATGATGGAGTGGGGGGGGTGGAGGGGAGAGACAGATAGTATAACTTACTAGACATGCTTAGGAACTGGTTTATCGTAAATTAACAACATTTAGTAAACAATCTTTTTTATTTGTTTGTAAAAACTTGTCAAATATGCACTCAAACCCCCTACCTTTCGAATACATACCTTTTTAAAGTTGGTTTAACAATCGGGGAATTTTCTAAATTTTGATGGTTATTATATCGTTAGAACTGACGAGGGTCAGCCCAGACCGAAATATATTTTCAATAAATGTGGAACTAACATTTACTTATTTTACTCTACAGAGGTTTGGTCCATCACCATCACCAAATTTTAAATGGATAACAAAGTCACTCATACAACTCCCCTCTAAAACTTTTTTCAAATTGATTCAAAAAATAAATGTTTTTATTGTTAGTCATGTGAACGAAGGCGGTGTTGCTGCAGGGCTTGGTGCTCTAGATTCTGTTTACTTGGTAGATGCATCAAGATGCTGTTTAAACTAGGGAATGCATCAAGATATTGTTCAAAATAGTGGATGCATCAATATACTGTTTAAACTAGTGGATGCATCAAGATACTGTTTAAACTAGTGAATGGACCAAGATACTGTTGAAACTAGTGAATGGATCAAGATACTGTTGAAACTAGTGGATGCATCAAGATACTGTTTTAACTAGTAAATGCATTGAGATACTGTTTAAACTAGTGGATGCATCAATATACTGTTCTAGTGGATGCATCAAGATACTGTTGAAACTATTGAATGCATCAAGATACTGTTTTAACTAGTGGATGCATCAAGATACTGTTTAAACCAATGAATGCATCAAGATACTTTTGAAACTATTAAATGCATCAAGACATTGTTTAAACTAGTTGATGTATCAAGAGACTGTTTAAACTAATGGATGCATCAATATACTGTTTAAACCAGTGGATGCATCAAGATACTGTTTTAACCAGTGGGTGCATCAAGATACTGTGAAAACCAGTTATTGCATTAAAATAATTTTCCTATGATCCATTAAGATTGTATCAGGATGTTCGTAAAACTAGTAGATGCATTAAACCCAGTGGATTAGATTAATAGTTTTTAAATAATTCTGAATCAATTTACTCACCTTTTTTTGTGAAGCCAGTTATATTTCCAGATACATAAAAAAGTTTTATGTCAGAATCCACATCTACTTAAGTACTTTGTTTAATCATTTTGCCTTCATAAAAATATCGCATTTACAAAAAATTTCATTTTAATAATACTTTATAACATGTGTGTTAATATTTTTTTTTTGTACAATTTATATTTTGTAATATTTTTTTGACAAAACGTGCCTTCATTAAATAAATTTAGTTATCAAACAAATTATCACATTTCTTTAATTAAAACTCTCATCTACTATTCTATGGATAATAATAAACTAGAAACACTTAAAAATCTTTGATTAATCCACTGAACTAGGATCATTTGATTAATCTATTGAACTAAGATCATTATCTAAATATGGAAACCTGGCGAACTCCCATTTGATTAATCTATTGAACTAAGATCATTATCTAAATAAGGAAACCTGGCGAACTCCCATTTGATTAATCCATTGAACTAAGATCATTATCTAAATATGGAAACTTGGCGAACTCTGAGCACGCCTCCTCTATGGTCGGAAACCTGAACTTGAACCCTGCCTCCAGGCTCCTTGAGGGGACAACCTTCTGCCCCTTGGTGATCATAGCCGCACGTTCTTCTCCGAAGATAAGGTTCCACTCAAACTCCGGGATAGGGATGAAGGCAGGACGCCCCATGGTTCCAGCGAGAGTATCAACAAATTTTTTATTCGTAATTATCTGAAATAAAAAAATAATTTAATAGTTAACATTAAAGGTAAAAATAATATTAAATTTTTTTCCGTCAATTAGAGTAGAACTAAGGAGAAAGTGACCCCTGTTTACATTTAACTCTGACGCAAAAGGACAGATCAGAAGCTAGATTTATTGTAAACAAAGTCCAGTATTCATGAGGAGGGCCGGGCCGGAGCAAATACTAACTTTAAAATTGTTAGCTCTTAAACTGTTCTAATACGTAACAATAAATTGTAAACAGACCCTCTCCTTTCTCTCTAATTCGATACCATCTTTGCTATTAATATCGGGATAAAAAAGTAAATGTAGATTTTCAGTTTATATATGTTTAATATCATTAACCATAATCTCATGGATAATTTTAACTTTTCATCCCGCAATTCCAATGTTTGTTTGAAAGTTGCATGCCTTTATGATTACTACTTTATGAAGTAGAATCATAGAATGTGCGGACTACGATTAGTTTTAAAAAAAATAAATGGTTTGGTTATTTGCTTTCATACGTTGAGATCCATAAAACTGTTGTAACGATTGATGAACCTCAGTTATGATTTTGAATAGTCCTATGAACATGAAACACTGAATTTGTGCAGTGTATACAGACCCTTTATATTTGATTTTTAAACTATCGATACAACGTTTTGCTTTATAACAACATCAAATACACATAAGATTGCATACTTTTCGTTTTTCTCTTCCACAGTTATATGGGTCTCACTGTATCTACCTGGGGTGCAACAGCATTATAAACCCCTTCCAAAGTTTCAGTCTCCACAGCATGATGGATAAGTCCGGCCAGATCCTTGACATGTATCCAGGGTAGAGGTTGAGTACCTGATCCCATTCTTCCTCCTAGTCCCAGGAAGAACGGGAGATAAATCTGTTTTATCATTCCTCCGTTCCGTCCCAACACTACGCCTGGCCTAAAAATGCAACTTTAAATCCAAGATTATTATTTTCATTATAAAAAACCAACCCGTCATTCAATGACTGAATATTGGAAGGTAGATTTCTGTTAAAATTGAAATTTGTTGACATATTTATATAATATACAAAAATGTGGACTGAATATTAAAAAGTAGATTTCTGTTAAAACTGAAATTTGTTAACATACTTATACAATATACAAGAATGTGGACTGAATATTAAAAAGTAGATTTCTGTTAAACCTGAAATTGTTTGACGTATTTATACAATATACAAAAATGTGAATTGAATATTAAAAAGTAGATTTCTGTTAAACCTGACATTGTTTGACGTATTTATACAATATACAAAAATGTGGACTGAATATCAAAAAGTAGATTTCTGTTAAACCAGAAATTGTTTGACGTATTTATACAATATACAAAAATGTGAACTGAATATCAAAAAGTAGATTTCTGTTAAAACTACAATTTTTTGGCATATTTAATGAATACAATATATACAAAAATGTGGACTTAAAACCTCATCGTCATACAGAGGTACCCAAAACGGATTTGACTTTAATGACCCCCTGGGACCTTTTTTAATACCACGATTGAAAGTTAAAATTTCTTATTCCTCAACCAAATATTTCTTGTCTTTGAACGAATGGAGTAAAACTCGATTATATTTCTACAAATAGGATACAAATTTCCAAAATAATCTTGTCCATGTGACAAACAATAAACTAAGCATACAGCTAAAACAAACGTTGTAATAAAAAGAGAAAGAATAAATCTGTTCAATTGTCTATAAAATCTCATTCTATTTAGAAAGAATAAATCTGTTCAATTGTCAATAAAATCTCATCCTATTTAGAAAGAATAAATCTGTTCAATTGTCTATAAAATCTCATCCTATTTAGAAAGAATAAATCTGTTCAATTGTCTATAAAATCTCATCCTATTTAGAAAGAATAAATCTGTTCAATTGTCTATAAAATCTCATCCTATTTAGAAAGAATAAATCTGTTCAATTGTCTATAAAATCTCATCCTATTTAGAAAGAATAAATCTGTTCAATTGTCTATAAAATCTCATCCTATTTAGAAAGTCTTGAAGCTATAAGAAGACGACCAATCTATATCGTCTTCTTAGGCCCTTTACCTGAGAATAACCGTCCTGATCCCACTTTGTTTAGCCTCCGCCTCCCACTCCCCAGCTAGCTGAGCTAACCAGTCTGAGCCCTGAGCTCCACCCTCATCATAAACCTTCTCCTGGTCCGGAGCATAGTAGCCGACACCGGTAACAGCTACAAATACCTACACAATATATAATTTCTGAATTTTCTGTAAAATGCGTGTCATTGTAACAGACCGATCTCCACTCTACCGTGGTCCCCAAAATGTAAGGGAATTTGAAGACGACTTAAGACTATTCAAAGTAAATTTAGTTTGATTAATGTGCGCTAGAATTAAAAGAAAATGCGGAGAAAAAATCACCTTAGCTTAGTTTTCAATGTATTTTGAGCTAGACAACTATATTTTGCTAATGGATAGAACGTTATCTTAGTTTTCAATGTATTTTGAAGAAAATGCGGAGAAAAAATCACCTTAGCTTAGTTTTCAATGTATTTTGAGCTAGACAACTATATTTTGCTAATGGATAGAACGTTATCTTAGTTTTCAATGTATTTTGAGCTAGACAACTAGATTTAGCTAACGGATAGAACGTTATCTTAGGTTTCAATGTATTTTGAGCTAGACAACTAGATTTAGCTAAAGGATAGAACGTTATCTTAGTTTTCAATGTATTTTGAGCTAGACAAATAGATTTTGCTAACAGATAGAACGTTATCTTAGTTTTCAATGTATTTTGAGCTAGAAAAATATATTTTGTTAACGGATAGAACGTTATCTTAGTTTTCATAGTATTTTGAGCTAGAAAAATAGATTTTGCTAACGGATAGAACGTTATCTTAGTTTTCAATGTATTTTGAGCTAGAAAAATATATTTTGTTAACGGATAGAACGTTATCTTAGTTTTCATAGTATTTTGAGCTAGACAAATAGATTTTACTAACGGATAGAACGTTATCTTAGTTTTCAATGTATTTTGAGCTAGAAAAATATATTTTGTTAACGGATAGAACGTTATCTTAGTTTTCAAAGTATTTTGAGCTAGACAACTAGATTTAGCTAACAGATAGAACGCTATCTTAGGTTTCGATGTATCAGGAACAAGGCGAACAGCTGTTGTAAGCTGTCTTGAACCTTACCTTGGATTTGATGTATATCTAGAACAATACGTTCAGCTGTTGCAAGCTGTCTTGAACCTTACCTTAGGTTTCGATGCATCAGGAGCAAGACGAACAGCTGTTGCAAGCTGTCTAGTGGTTTCTAATCTACTGGATCTGCACAGCTCTTTAAACGCTGGAGACCAACGACTAGAATAAACAAAAGGGAAATTGTCAGTTTGTAAATATATTTTATTTATTTTATTTATCGTTTTTTGGGGGGCTGGAAACAATATAATTGAGTAAAATACGCTTTTTCTGTCAATTGAGACTAGAGTCGAGAGAATGTGATCACAAGCCATGTAATTGTAAAATATCCATATATCTACAAATTTATCTACAATAAGACCCATAAAATTGTAGAATAGAAAGACGACTGTTGGACTCAAGCTCTGATTTTGAATAGTAATAAAAACATTGAACACAGCAATCGTGCAGTTTACACAGACCCATTTCACTTAATACGTAATAAGTTGGGTTTAAGGTACTGCTAAAACCAATTGCTTTATTACACGAGAAAAATGTCTTTTTCCTATTGCACAGTTTTCTGGATCCCACTATATCTATCTACCTGAATGGATCTAAAACATTCTGACCGGCCAGGTTAATCACTGCCTTGGTTCCTGTAGGTAATCCCTCCCTGTAGACAGAATCCCAGGTTATCTTGTGTTGACCGGGAGATCGAGAGATAATTATGACTTCGAATCCTGCTCGTCTTAGTCTCATACACACCTCCTCACCTTGACAAATCAAGAATGTCGTTGCTGAAGTTTGTAAAAAAAATAGAGTCTGTTCTTATCCAAAAAAGTCAGAACGGCTGAACCGATCAAGCCCAAATATTTTGTGAGTCAAAATCAAAAATTTTGCCATAATAATAATCCTCAATTTAAAACAGAAAACTTCGCAAAATGTTAGTTTTGTTTTAATAATATTTTCGAAAAAAGGGTAGACGTTTAAGAATATTCATTACTAGGGCGTACACAGAAAAAAATCTAGGGGAGGCCAAATATGCACGAAGCGTAAAAAAAAAATTTGCCTCCCGCAGGAGCTCCTAAGGGGGGAGGGGCAAACTTTGAACTGTAAATTCAAAAAATTTGGCTTCTTGGATACTTTAAAGGTACACATACAGTCAAATTACCTTGCAAGTACTACTTTATCCCGACTTCAAACAAAACTAGCAGAAAAAAAGCAAACAATTTTTTTATGAGTTCAAGGGGGGGGGGGTCCCCTCTTGACAGGTCTAGGGAGGGGGCACTACCCCCTTTCCCCCCCCCTGTTTACGCCTTTGCTAAGTGAGTAAAAGCGGTGCAAAGCGCAAAATCAGCCGCATGGGAGGAAAAATTGTTTATGTAATATCTTTCTTGCCACAATAATTATAAATGATATATTTACTAATAAAGGGAACGTTTATGCAGATATGTGACATAAAATACAAGGTTCTCCCATTATTCCGTACTCAATTTTAGAAAGAATTGAGTTTTTGTTACAAACTCATATTTTCAATTTACGTCATCATTATTATGTTTCATAAGTTTTCCTGAATCTCAAAATAATTTTCCTTCCTAACTTTGCTATAGAGTAAACTTTAAAAAATTACCAATAAATCCGCTTCCTCCTCCGACCAGAACCTTTTCGGGTCTTTTCAAACCTCCTGTTCACAAACATCTATTTTAATTTCGAACTTTTTCTGTTCTTTTTTTTCGAGAAATATCTGATTCTGATGATTTAGTAGTTTCTGGATCAAATAATTATACTTGGTTGTTTTTGAAGATGCCATGTTTTACGTTTAAGTGCATAAAAATACACACAAAAATAATGATGTATCTAACTTTTTTTACTAGCATCATATGGCTGGTGGAGAAAATAAATTATTTTGTGGGGAAAATAATCTTTCTTTGAAGAAGAGTCGAAACTCTTGGAGGGAGGGTTAAAAAAATTAATTTATTCAACATCTGCAGATATAAATGATCTAGTTTAAACCCCTAAAAATGATAATGAAACATAAGAGTAAAATAAATTTTCAACTGAATACATTTTTTTTTCTAAATCTCATAGAAGTTTCCCTGTATTGTTATTAATAGCTTTTCCCTTCTCCTCAGCACTAATATAAGATTATTATTTTAAATATGAACCTAGAGCAAACTTATAAACCTGGAGCAAACTTTTAAACCTGGGGCAAACTTTATAACCTGGGGAAAACTTTTAAACCTAGAGAAAAACTTTAAACATAAAGAAAACTTTTTAACCTGGGGCAAACTTTAAAGCCTGGGGCAAACTTTTAATTCTGGAGCAAACTTTTAAACCTGGAGAAAACTTTTAACCCTGGAGAAAATTTTAATTATATATTAACCTGGAGCAAACTTTTAACCCTGGAGAAAACTTTAATTCTAAATATTAACCTGGAGAAAACTTTTAACCCTGGAGAAAACTTTAATTCTAAATATTAACCTGGAGAAAACTTTTAACCCTGGAGAAAACTTTAATTCTAAATATTAAACTGGAGAAAACTTTTAAACCTGGAGAAAACTTTTAAACCTGGAGAAAATTTTAATTATATATTAATGGAGCTAACTTTTAAACCTGGCGCTATCTTTAAAACCTCGAGCAAACTTTTAAAACTCCTTTACTCCCTCTATTTCAGTTTTAAAATAATCATGTATCCCTGAGCTGAAATCTGGAGAAGAGGTTCCAGAAACCGGTTTTTTGTTCTCGTGTTTCCGAAACCGGAAGTGTGACTCCCAGTTTCTGAAGTGCTCCAGCAGCACTTAACATTTTATATTCTCTAATAAAATAATATAAAATATTAAATATATTTGTTAAATTTAATAAAACACTATCATCTTTTAAAATATACTTTGAATCAATAAAAATCCGAAATTTTCAGAAGCTTTCTTATTTGTCAATTATTGAGCTAGCTTTTGAAGATCGTATTAAAGTTTTGTCTTTTTTACTTTGTTTAAAAAAATAAACCGATTATATAAATAGACTAAATCCTCGCGTTTAAAACTTCTACACTGTTGATGATCGTCCGAGGGTTTATTAATAAACGTCCAAGGGGTTTACTAAAGATCGTAAGAAGGTTTAGCATTGATCGTCCAAGGGGTTTAGTATAGATCGTCCTTAGGCTTTGTATTGATCGTCCAAAGGGTTCAGAATTGAACTTCCATAGGTTTAGTATTGATCGTTCAAGGGGTTTAGTATTGATCGTCCATATGTTTAGTATTGATCGTCCAAGGAGTTTAGTATAGATCGTCCAAGGGGTTTAGTATTGATCGTCTGAGGGTTGAGATTCCAAGAATATACTTGGAAGAGAGGATCCAGGTTCGCCTGCTCCAGAGATACTTGGATCCAAGGGTTTACTACTAGGACTGGAGGAGGACGGAAGAATATCAATCTTGAGTTCTGTATTTTGAATCTGGAATCTTGATTCGGAATCACTCAAGCTCTCCTACGCAAAATATACTGCAAGGAACTGTTTTAGGTCGAATTTTTTTCTTTCATTATTTTTTTGTTAGTTTTTATTTTTCGACTTTTTATTTTTTTGTTTTTTTTTATTCATTTGGCCTTTCTGCTTTATTTTTATGTCATCTTTTTTTTTAATGAGTCTCACTTGATAGTACAGTTCCTTTTAAATGTATTCCCAAAAAAAAGTTTTAAAAATGGGAACCAACAAAGAACCAACAAAGAACAAAGTTTAAACTTTTTAAAACTAAATTAAGCATAAAAAAATCTTTATTCTATTCTAAGAAAGATAGGAGAATTTTTAATTGTTGAGAATTTACAATTATTATCGGGATCAAGCATTGATATCCATCATATCCCGTGGTGGTCATACCCTGATGCCAAATTTAAAGAATTTGAGCCGCGGCCTAAATTTAAGCCACGACTCAAATATGGTTGGTTCCACTTAAAATCGTATTCAATGTTTCAAGATTTAAGCCGGCGCTCAATTGAAACCTGTTTTTGGGGGATTTGAGACGCGGCTCAAATTCATTAAATTCGGACACAGAAGGGATAACTTTAATTAAGGGTTAATGCATTTATCTTCAAATTTAAAAGTGCGCACTTAGGATATCAAAATCAAGAGTTTAAGACTAACGATAAAGCACAAAGATAAATGGAACGTTGTATGTTTACCTGGTTTAAGGCATAGATAATAGACCCAGGAACAGGATTTAAAGAGTCGAACCCAGAAACAGTCTTCCCATTCAAGTCAACGGACTCCTTAAAAAAATGAGAATTCTGTTACAATCAATCAATCAATCGGATTTTTAGGGACACCCTATGACCACATCAAAATCTCTTTATGACATACATTCCGTTCATTACTTAACACTTGCTTAGAAACCAACGGAACGCAACTAAATGGTTGCTGCAAGCTTTAATTTTTAAATCTTATATCTGTGCAACCTGGTGGCTAGACTTTTGATATTTCAAACTATGATCTCTGCCAGAACAAATGATCAAAGTTTTAACTTTAAGCTATCAGAGTCCAAAACTAAAGAACGAAAAATTACGACTTAAACGCCGCTTCTACAGCTCGTCAATTTCGGAGAGTTAATCTTTAAACCCGAAAATACCCGCTAAATTTTAATGCATGAAAATGATTTAATCTGACGATTCAAGTTTATACATCTTTCCCCGTCATCTGGAATAGATAAATTCATCGTGTATCTAATACGAAATATATTTGTTATTTTTCGGCCTACATGCAGTTTTGTGAAGAAATTGAAATTTCAAATCAGCTGATGTTACGTTGTATAATCTCTGTCGATCCGTTAACTCCGTAATTCCCGTGATCTGATTGGTTCATATTTTCCCCGGGAAATTTGAATTTCCCTTTGGGGTTAAATTTAGAAAGGTTAATATTTAAGTAGCAACTCAGAATTTTTCAGAACTTTTAAGCTACAACTTAAATTTCGCGAATTCTTCAGTTTTAGAACTTATACTCAGGTTGCAAGAAGGTATTAGAATTAAAAGTTAGAGGCAAGTGTTTTCAGTTTCTTTGCAACCCCCGGCCCCCCTCCCCCACGGTGAGGTGTTTAAAGGGGTCAAGGGGGGGGGGGTGACTGGTTTTTGTCACCATCTTTCTCTTAAAATGCATTAGCCTTTTGTTTCATGATGAGAATGGACAAAGTGAATATATATTCTGATAAACTTTTCATTTACAAATATTGTATCAATTGTAGCTAACATTGATTCAAAATGATTTCAATTTAAACTTATATTTCCCGTGCATATATTTATCCTCGAATGGATCAGTGTAACTTTGAGTAAACTTAAAGGGTTATAGTGTGCATAGCTTACACTGGAGACGTGAAGATTGCAGGAAAACGTAGAGTTTATTGCTATTTTTACACGCATTTACAACGGAATCAGGATAATCTAAATATATAAAAAGTTTCTAACAACCACTGATCAAAGATTTGGGGGCATCGCAAGCCCGCCCATGTATTGGTGTTGTCTCTGATTCATGTATAAAATACCCATTTTAAGAGTTTTCCCGGAAAAATTACCAGTTTTTAGAACTTCAACGCAACATTTCTTAGACTTTAGACACTTATCACAATTTTCTTTTAAGCGACCGAGCCTTATTTGATATGAATAAGAGGTTTATGGTGTAAACTCAATATTGCTGTCCCCCTCCCCCCTGATACCTCACTGTGCGACCCCCCATATTCAAATATTAAAAATTATTTCCCCTGCACTAACCAGGATTATGCAGGTCCTGATCTGAGTATCTGAAAACTCCTCTAGGTTGGCTGTATATGACCCTGTTGTATCCTCTAGGTTTCTCCGGCACCCGGAGCTCTTCTTAAAGTGCTGACAGAGTCCGGAGGAGGTTGTAAATCTCCGGCCGCAGGTTCGGCACTTGAACGGTTTCTCTCCAGTATGGATTCTCGAGTGGTTCTCCAGGTTTCTCATGGAACGGAATCTTTTAGGGCAATGACTACATGAAAACGGCATCTCGCCACTATGCTTTCTCATATGAACCTTAAGAATAATATTTTTTAAAGAACCTTAGAACGCTTTTATTGATCTAACCAAATAATTTTCTTACTTTGCGATAAGTGATGAAGCTTGATTGCCCAATGCTATGCCATAAAGTTAATAAATTTTGACCGGGATTTCTATATTAGAGGGTTCTAATATAAAGATTCCAGTTTTTAAAGAGAAACCCCAAAATAATAAAATAGATAGAAAAACTGGAATATTTTTATTAATTGGAATGTCACTTGAAATTAAGTCCTTAAGAAGCGTTGATAATTGTTTCTTCAAATAAAAACTGTAAATACCTTTAAATCATGTAGACCGAAGTATTGAGCTTTACATTCCATGCATTCATACACCTTTCTCTCCCCAGTGTGAAACTTCATGTGTTCTTTCAGATGTCCCTTCGTTGTAAAGGATTTCCCACACTCAATACACAGATGAGACCGAATCCCTGAATGCTTCTGAACATGAAGAGTAAGATGTGAATTCTGAACAAATCTTTTCCCGCAAACCAGGCAAACAAACGGTTTGTTATCCCAGTGCAGCATCTTGTGCTTCTTCAAACTATAATTACTCGTCAAACATTTTCCACAAATATCACATTTGTATTTGCTGTCAAAGGCTCCGTCTGAGTGCTTCAGCTTGATATGATGGTTTAAATGGGATTTTTGTTTAAACTTTTTCCCACAGTGGGTACACGTAAACAGCTTGTTTACTGTGTGACTGACTAAAATTATCTTGATATTTTTATACTTAATATTTATTTCATAGGAATTAAATGTTCTTGAATATATCTATGGAATTAAAAAAAAACTATTAGCAAAATATTTTGCTGGATTTAAACATTTGTCAAGAGCATAAAGACGAAATTTCTAGTAATCCTTCAATTATCGAAGTGCTTGTCCTATTCACAATGGTACCCATGCCCTTGCCCTTGCTTTGCTTCAACAAGTATGAATTAGATATCCAAGTTTTTAATAAAACAAACTATTTTTATTTATAGTAGACACCTAAGTGACAGTATTAAACACCTTTAAAGCAAGAAAATCTACGTTATCTTTTACATAGATTTCAAAGGTACCGTTGTGAATCGAAAACGACACTCTACAACTGGAAGGTTACTTAAAATCACCACTGCATAAGAATTCAAGATAACAATTCCTGTGTGTAATTCCAATTTTGATTTTGAGGCAAACGTTTTGTTGCAGATCGTAAAGGGATACACAGGATCAGAGTTCTCTGCCTTAGAGTCACCAGAAAATCCCTCACTTTGAGTAAAAAAAGATTAAATTTGTATTCGACAAAGATATTACACATAATGGAAGAGAGAAAATAACAAAAAATAAAAAATAAGGGAACACTGTTTAATTGAGAGTATTAAAAAGGTCCTTTTATATGTTATAAAAGGGTTCATTGTATTAAAAAGGTCCTTTTATATATAAAAAAAGATTAAATTTGTATTCGACAAAGATATTACACATAATGGAAGAGAGAAAATAACAAAAGATAAAAAATAAGGGAACACTGTTTAATTGAGAGTATTAAAAAGGTCTTTTTATATGTTATAAAAGGGTTCATTGTATTAAAAAGGTCCTTTTATATAATATAAAAGGGTTCATTGTATTAAAAAGGTCCTGTAATATATTATAAAAGGGTTCATTGTATTAAAAAGGTACTTTTATATATTATAAAAGGGTTCATTGTATTAAAAAGGTCCTGTGATATATTATAAAAGGGTTCATTGTATTAAAAAGGTCCTTTTATATATTATAAAAGGGTTCATTGTATTAAAAGGTCCTTTTATATATTATAAAAGGGGTTCATTGTATTAAAAAGGTCCTTTTATATATTATAAAAGGGTTCATTGTATTAAAAAGGTCCTGTAATATATTATAAAAGGGTTCATTGTATTAAAAAGGTCCTGTAATATATTATAAGGTTCATTGTATTAAAAAGATCCTTTTATATATTGTAAAAGGGTTCATTGTATTAAAAAGGTCCTTTTATATGTTATAAAAGGGTTCATTGTATTAAAAAGGTCCTTTTATATGTTATAAAAGGGTTCATTGTATTGAAAAGGTCCTTTTATATATTATAAAAGGGTTCATTGTACTGAAAAGGTCCTTTTTTATATTATAAAAGGGTTCATTGTATTGAAAAGGTCCTTTTATATATTATAAAAGGGTTCATTGTATTAAAAAGGTCCTGTGATATATTATAAAAGGGTTCATTGTATTAAAAAGGTCCTTTTATATATTATAAAAGGGTTCATTGTATTAAAAGGTCCTTTTATATGTTATAAAAGGGTTCATTGTATTAAAAAGGTCCTTTTATATGTTATAAAAGGGTTCATTGTATTGAAAAGGTCCTTTTATATATTATAAAAGGGTTCATTGTATTGAAAAGGTCCTTTTATATATTATAAAAGAGTTCATTGTATTGAAAAGGTACTTTTATATTTTATAAAAGGGTTCATTGTATTAAAAAGGTCCTTTTATATTTAATAAAAGGGTTCATTGTATTAAAAAGGTCTTTTTATATTTTTTAAAAGGGATCATTGTATTGAAAAGGTCCTTTTATATATTATAAAAGAGTTCATTGTATTGAAAAGGTCCTTTTATATATTATAAAAGGGTTCATTGTATTAAAAAATATATTCAAAAGGACTGTAGACATAATTTTAAGTGTTCTCCACTCTCTTTTAATAGAGTGGCATGTCCGATTCACAACGGTACTCTTGAAGCTTTGTTTGGTCTAGTGTAAACTAGCTATCTAGTTTAAATATCTTTAAAATAATTCAATTGTGGATTGTCTACAAAAGTGACTCTCGCATTTCTGATGCATTACTAGCAAAGAAGGAATTGCTAGAATTAAACATTTCTCTAGCCAGAAAAAAAGCCTATATCTTCCCTTTTAAACATCAGATAAAGCTTTAAAGGGTATCGTGGTGAATTAAATAGAGGGGCAGTCCGTTTAAGATAAATATACCTGTAAGTCTCCTGGAAAGAATCAAGCATTAGCAACTGGTCGCTGGCGGAGAAAACCTCCCCGCCGCCAGATTCGGAACAATCAATTTGAGATATTTCAAAATTTGTTGACTCCAGTTGAGATTTCTCACTGGCGGAGATATATACCCGAGACTGAGGATCGGAATCAGGTTTCTCCGCGGGGGGGTCGGAGTTGGCTCCGTTTAACGAGGATAGTTCGATAACAGAATTATTAAATTCAATCACATCCTTCCATTTTGGATCGTTAACCCTCTCCCCCTCCTCCTCCTCCTCCTTAAAAAAAAAATTTAATCACCATTCACCATTTTTAAAACTTAAAAGAACTGAGCTGAAAACTTTAAAATGGTGGATATCGAAATCAATGCTGGACCTCCTCTTTTTCTTTATCTCCAGATTAAATAAAGCTTGTTCTCTTCTTGTTATTAATCTCCAGATCAATTAACTGGTCGGGATTAAGGATATCCTATTCTAAAGTTTTCAGCTCTGATTGGTAATTTCAAGAAATCCTCCATTAAAACAACAGAGTAGCATGCCCATATAAAGGTACCCTTGAAACCTTCAAATCTCTATCTAATTTACAATATGAAGAGGAAGATTTTAAAAGATATTGTCGGTATTCAATCTTAAAAAGTGTAAAATTCTGAAAATTCTTCCATCACTACTGCATAAAATCCAAACGTCACTTTTGCAGAGAATCCAAAATTCTGATTAATGAATTATTACGAAGAAAAACAAGGATATTTTCACCATTTTCTCAGACAAAGGTTTAAGACGGAGGTCACTTGAAATTACGTCTACGTCTAAACGTAACTTTAAGACAAAAATTCAAAACATAAAAAAATACCTCCTCTCTACCATGAGTTGCGGCATGCTTCTTGAGATTGCTGCTCACAGCAAATGATTTCCCGCATTTATGGCAGATGTACGGTTTCAAACCAGAGTGTAAAATCTTCATATGTGTATTCATATGACATCTTTGGACAAATCGTTTATCACACTGAGTACAGGCGTAAGGCTTGATTCCCAAATGGGAGTTGATGTGATGCATAAAGTTTCGTTTCAAGCCAAACTGTTTTTGGCATTTGTCACATTGGTAAATGGTTCGTTGGTGCGGTGTTTTTTTTCTTTTAGGAAGAATAAACTCTAGCTTTTCATTGCGGGATTCATCTTCTAAGAAAAGAAAAATTAAAGGGATTGTTTACATATTCGAAAATAATATCCAAATTTCTGCTAATCTACTCGGTTTTCTTATTGTAAATATATTTATAAATCCACGAAATTAAAGGCATTGTTCATATATTTGAAAATAATATCCCAATTTTTACTTAATCTTATCGGTTTTCTTATTGTAAATATATTGATAAATCCACGAAATTAAAGGGATTGCTCATATATTTGAAAAGAATATACCAATTTTTGTTGAATCTAATCGGTTTTCTTTTTGTAAATATATTGATAAATCCACGACAATGTATGCAAGGACAAACAAAATGGTTTACTGGTGATTAATTATACAATGTATAAGCGCAGAATCATTTCTGGGTGTTATTAACAAACTAGGTATCAATCACTCCCTCATTAAGATTGACTTGATGTTCCTAATTCCAGAATAATTGGGTTGAATGAATTTCAAAAAGGTAAATAATCCTGCTAAAATAAAATTTTAAAAATATTTTTAAAATAATGGAATAAATTCGTCAATCTATCAAATTTCTTTGTTTCAAAATTTATAAAAATTCGAAGAGAAATAAATTCTAAATAATAAAACTTTAGCTATATCATGTACAATCCCTTCAGAGTGTCTCCTATGATTAACCTTTAAGAGTGGCCGAGGAATAATCTAGAACTAGAGGAATAGGTTTCTCGAACCCAACAGTGGCCGAGGAATAATCTAGAACTAGAGGAATAGGTTTCTCGAACCCTACAAGGTTTGCCTTGACTCCCAAGGTTTGCCCAATTCTTGCAAGAACTTGTATCTCGGACTGTCTGGAATCAGAAGAAATAAAATCTAAAAATTAAATTTTTTTAAAAGTGTTCAATTAAAAAAAGTCAGGGCTGAGCCTTCCTCAAAAACTCATTAAGGAGTAGATTTTGAACGTATGCTCAAGTGTAAAACAAAACATTCTAAAATAATTAGATTTTAAATCCTATAAACTAGTATTCTATAACTTCACGTCAAACTAAAGTAAATTGCACGGAAGATTAAAATATTATATATTTTTAATCATAACTTATTTTATTAAAGAGATATTCATAAAAACAAACATTTCTAGAATGCACCCGAATTTTGCTTTTCTTACACTTGTGCGTAAAATCAACTGGAGGAGCTACGATGTCACAAAGTTTTAAAATTAATGTCGCATAAATTTAACATTCTCCTTCTGTCAAGATTGGCTTGACTTAAAATGTATTTTTCCCGTATATTGAGTGAAATCTAGAATTAATAGCTTTTTGTTTTACCTTGGAACCTTCTCCCACTGGAGCAGGTTTTCAAGGAATATCTCCAGGTGCTCCGCAGATACGTCCGGGATAAGGATACAATACTCCAGATTAGGTTCGGTCAGGAGGGTTGAGTCAGTCCGAAGCAGAGAACCCTGGATTAATGCGCTGCAGGACGCGAGCAGAAGCGAGTTTGAGTAAACCTGTTCTCCCCCAGCACACACTATACGCAGGTCAGTTATCCCCGGATCTTAAAAAAGAAGAAGTTTATCAAAATTCTAAATATATATAAAAAAATGTATCTAAAAATGTGTAATGGTTATTGGTCACAATCGTCAACCACATTTATTATTATTATTATTATTATTACATAATGATCGTTAGAGATCCTCATTGTGGAATCCCAAGACTGGCAATGCCTAAAACCCGTTCAACCTGGGGTTCTGGGATTTAAATGAAACGTTTCAATTTTATCTTTTTTCTCTATTTCTCTCTCTTTTTTCGCCAATAAATGTATTCAAAGACTCTAATATTTTCCTCCATCTTTGCAACCTGATAATGAAAACCTTAAAAATGTTTGGTCTAGCAGAATATACAGTTTGAAATATTTTAAGTCTATGACACCAGTGTCCGAATTAATGAATTTAAGCCGCGTCTCAAATCCCCCAAAAACCGGTTTCAAATTCATTTGAGCGCCAGCTTAAATCTTGAAAAATTTAATAAAATTTTAAGTGGAACCAACCATATTTAAGCCGCGGCTCAAATTCTTAAAATTCGGTGTCAGGTTGTAAAGAAATTAGGATTAGACAATTAGAGTATGAGGTGAATAAAAAATTTCTTTGACAATAGAGGACCTGAGGCGTAAACAACATCACTTTTACTGATAAAGGGAATGATTCTTTGCCACAGATAAAAATTTTCTAATTCCTGTTTCTTCGCAACATGATGTAATATTAAACTTAGATTATTTGATCTAACTTGAGTTCATAGTTTGAAATTGTTAATGTCTTCTACATTGGTTTGCAACGAAATAGGGATTAGAAAATCAGTCCCTAGATCCGGATCCGGAATAGAAAGAGGATCCGGGTCCGGAATAGAAATATGATCCGGATCCGGAAAAGAAAGAGGATCCAGATTCTCGGCACTTTATATATAATTCCTGACCTCGATAAATCTTCCTGAAGTCTGACAGTAATGATTGACAGTGCTGGAGAAAAATCTTGTCCATTCTTCTGAAGTTTAAAATAGTTGTAAAACAGGACAAGGATGAATATTTGTAATAAAAAGGACAAGGATGAATATTTGTAAAAAAGGACAAGGATGAATATTTGTAAAACAGGACAGGGATGAATATAAATTATTATCTTCAGGTACAAAAAATGCCGCGTCTTGAGGTTGGTTCAGTTTATTTTCCTTCTCTCTAATCCCTAGTTCCTGGTCCCTAGTCAGATTCATGTAGAGCCTCGGCAACCTGAACACGTTTATGTCAAATTTTTTTTCTTTTTTCTTTTTATAAAATAATTTCCAACCTTTATCCACTGCACGGCCTGTCTGTAGTTATCTGTTTCTCCAGGTACCCTGAAGTACACAGTATCAATAAAAGTAGTAATCTCTGTCTGTTTGTCTGTTTATTTGTTGGATTGTTTGCTAGATAATAACTCCCTTGAACATGGCCTCAAATTTTGATTGGGAAACTAAGTAGAATTGCGGGACTGTTCTTAGTTTAGTTTAAAAATTTAAAAATGGTTGACATTGATACAGAAAGTTTAGATTTCCAGACAAAGCTGGGTTCCCAAGCTCGTCTAATCATAAGATTGGCGTAGACTATTCACACACACAATGATTAGTATATGAGGTAGTATATCATCATAAAAGTGCCATAAACAATTCACACACACAATTATTAAGATATAGTCAAAATCCTGAAGTACACATACGCGATTATAAAATATAAAATCACGATCGTTGTCTCCTTTCAAAAGAGAAACGACTTTGATTAAGCAATCGTTATTTAGTTAAAAGGACTGTGTAGACGTTCTATAAATGGAGGGTCATTTGAAATTACGTCTACAGTTCTTAAAATGGTTACTGGTGAATCGATTCAGGCAGTTTTTAACTGCAATGAGTCACTTATAATTACGTAAACAATATCTGTAAAAATATTTTTAATTTGACAAGAAGGCGAGTTTCTTTCACTGAAAGTAGTCCAACACTAATTGAAATAAAAATAATATTAACATAAAAACAACAATAACAATAATAAAAACAATAACAATAACAATAACAATAACAAAAACAATAATAAAAACAATAACAATAACAATAACAATAACAAAAACAAAAACAAAAACAAAAACAAAAACAAAAACAAAAACAAAAACAAAAACAAAAACAAAAACAAAAACAAAAACAAAAACAAAAACAAAAACAAAAACAAAAACAAAAACAAAAACAAAAACAAAAACAAAAACAAAAACAAAAACAAAAACAAAAACAAAAACAAAAACAAAAACAAAAACAAAAACAAAAACAAAAACAAAAACAAAAACAAAAACAAAAACAAAAACAAAAACAAAAACAAAAACAAAAACAAAAACAAAAACAAAAACAAAAACAAAAACAAAAACAAAAACAAAAACAAAAACAAAAACAAAAACAAAAACAAAAACAAAAACAAAAACAAAAACAAAANAATAATAATAATAATAATATTTACTTGTCATAGTTCCAGTAAGTAAAGGAGGGGAAGGAACCAACAACTCTGATATTACTCTTTTCCTCTATACAAACATTCATTAACCTCACAGTCAGTATTAGGTTGTTTTTCGCAATAGATATGAAACTAAATAAATTCATCAAACTTATGCAATTATAGAAAGTCATGAAGATTAGAAAGTCCTAAATATAAAAAGAAAGCATAACTGCATAAGCCCTGCAGACCCAAGCGCATATTACAAGCTGAAAATGACGTTGCCCTAAATGGGTTAAGAAAGGACAAGACTTTCAATATTAATCTTGGTACGAGGGTCTCCCTGTATCCAGAACTAGTTGTGTCTTACTAGTATCCATATACCTGGTAGACCTTGTCTCCCTGTATCCAGAACTAGTTGTGTCTTACTAGTATCCATATACCTGGTAGACCTTGTCTCCCTGTATCCAGAACTAGTTGTGTCTCACTAGTATCCATATACCTGGTAGACCTTGTCTCCCTGTATCCAGAACTAGTTGTGTCTAACTAGTATCCATATACCTGGTAGACCTTGTCTCCCTGTATCCAGAACTAGTTGTGTCTAACCCAAGGGTTGACATTTATACAGAAAGTTTAGATTTCCAGACAAAGCTGGGTTCCCAAGCTCGTCTAATCATAAGATTGGCGTAGACTATTCACACACACAATGATTAGNATCCAGAACTAGTTGTGTCTAACTAGTATCCATATACCTGGTAGACCTTGTCTCCCTGTATCCAAACTAGTTGTGGCTAACTAGTATCGATATACCTGGTAGACCTTGTCTCCCTGTATCCAGACCTAGTTGTGTCTAACTAGTATCCATATACCTGGTAGACCTTGTCTCTTAGTATCCAGAACTAGTTGTGTCTAACTGGTGTACCCAGTATCCATAAACCTGTTAAACCTTGTCTCCCAGTATCCAGAACTAATCCTCTGTATCCAGTATCTATATACCTGGTAGACTTTGTCTCCCAGTATCCAGGACTACTCCTGTGTATCCAGTATCCATATACATGTTAGACCTTGTCTCCCATTATACAGGACTACTCCTGTGAATCCAGTATCCATATACCTGTTAAACCTTGTCTCCCAGTATCCAGGACTACTCCTGTGTATCCAGCTGGAGCCTGGAGCACTTCTCCTTCAAGCGGATATCCACGGAAAGTATTGACTAAATAAATATGTTTTTTTGTGAAAATAGGTTGTTTTCTGACCAAACGATGATATTTACAGTGCACAAAAGGTTCTTGAATCGATATATATCATTTTTAATGAAACGAAATTATTGTTAAAGGCACACCATAATTTATCAATATGGGAGCCCCGGTCTCTCCTCCTTATCAAATTAATCACTTAATTCATCTCCACTCTCCACCTTTATCATAATTACACTTTTATCCTTTTTTTTGCTCAAATAAAACATTGTTTAGTTCAGTGATTATTTTTCACTGAAAACGCACTGAGTGAACGCAAATAAAGAATAAAAAGTTTAGAATTCGAGTAAATCCATATCTTGAGTTTGACATATGGCTTTCTCACTTATGGCTGTCTGATCAAGAATGAATGAGATATCCATGATTTCTCTTGGTTATTTAAAATTGTGATTTCATTTTAAAAGTGAATTGCGGATTGCTTGCTACAGAAACAATGGTGGAAATTATGATTTAATTATCACTTATTCAAGCTTAAATAACGACGATATCTTGCACATTATTGATTAGATAAATGTTTCAAAGGTACCGTTGTGAATCAGGCGTTGCACTCGTTAAATAAAATGTCACTTGAAATCTTAACAGCCCCTTTAAGCCATATGATTTTTTTTTTTACATTTTTTATATATTATTTAGTTTTCGAGACAAATCATTTATTTTCAAAAGTCTTTCAATTTAGCTAAAAAATAATGTTTTCTCTAAAATGAAGAGGTGGGATTTTATCCCAGAGAATGTATATTGTATACCCAAACCTTACCTAAACATTGTTTTTGTTTACTATGTTGAGTCTGGGAGCTAAACCTCTCACTGATCTGAGTTTCTCCGTTAAACTTTATACTAGAGGAGGAAATAAAAATAATTATTTAAAAATAAAAACAATTATTTTGCAAAAATATAACTTTTCATTTTGAAAAAAAAACTTTCAACATATACGCTTGAAATATGGACCCAAAGTTTCAGCTTTTGAGATGTTCCATTGGGGGGAAAACATAGATAAAGCTTGCTCTGAATCTAAATCTATGCATTGCCTAATATCAGTCTATACTACAGTTAAACCCTAAATATTAAATACATCGAAAGAATTTATCAAATGTCGCATTCTTCACTTTCTGATAATGGAATGTCACAGATATTTAGTTTTTTTAATTAAATGATTATAAAAAGCTCGATAAAACTGTTCCCACATATTCATGGCTATTTATTTGATTTCGCAAATACAAAATACTAAGCTTTACGTAAAATAATATGAAACCCATTGAAAAATTGTCAAGACGACATTTCATAAATTCTTTCGATGTATTTAATATTTAGATTTTTATTGTATTTGATATGCGACGCATGTTCATAATTCTAAAGCCACATAAAAATTTAACTTCAATTTTTTAGGTGCGATGGAGTTTTGAAACATTACAAAAGAAACGTTAAAAATTAAAAATAGCATTACAAGAATAAGTTAAGTTTAAGATTATTAAATGTTTTCAAAATTCGAAAATATCTCTCAGATTCTGTTTCATGCCTTGAGTCAAAACAGTTTGAGGTTTTCAGAAATGATAAACATTTCAATTGTTCCATCAAGGGTTTTTAATAAATGCTCCCTAATAAATATATTAATGACTTATTTCAGTGTTTTTTAATTATCACTTCACTATAAGACCGTCCAGTAACCTCTATTATCCTATATTTAACTTTTTTTGAAAAAATCGAACTGTTAAAACAAAACAAAAAACTTTGACCCCAACGATTAAAAAAGACAAAAATCTATGATGAATATTTTTGTCTCCATCTTCCTAAAGGGCAGAAACTGAACAGAACCTTCCGGAAGAGGATTCTTCAGAACATTTTCGTCCATTTTAAGTGACGTCATTTTCTGAAAACTTAACTTAAAATGCGGGAACATAAATGTTACAAAAAACATGTACAACAATATTCAGACTTTATATTTTATTCCGAGGCTTTATGAAAAACTACATCTTTCTTTTTCTTGGCTTTAGGTTCGTCCTCTTCTGAATCGGATTCGGAATCGACTCCGTCGATCTCGTCCTGGGTTCGGTAGTCCGGAACGCCGGCGAACCCTGACTTGCTGCCGACGACGACATTTCCATCCTTATCGACCTGGGCATCGACAAGCTCGATGTCCTCTTCTCGGACTCCACTGAGGTGGGGTTTACCAACGGGGGCTTCTCCTAAAAGAAAAATAATGAAAAATTAAAAAAAAAATTAGACATAATTTTAAGTAACCGCTGATTTAAGTTTTTTAGCTTTCAATCTAAAATCTTTACATTTACAAGATTAAAAAATGTAGCAAAAGTAAAACCCCATGTTGATCCCCCAAAAAATAATAATAAAAATGTTAAGAATAAAATCTTACCACCAAAAAAACTATAACAAAATTGCAAACAAAACATATTAATTTCAAATATGAGATTTTTTTTAAATATTTTGAATTTTTTGTTTATAAAAGGCAAGATTTTTTTCAAGGATGTTCGTACTTTTGTTGGTAATATTTTTAAACGTTATATTTTTGGTTTTCATATTATTAGCCTTCAATTTTCATATTATCAGCGATATTACCCCCCCCCCCCCACTAGCCTCCAAACTATCTATTATTTTTTTTTTCGGTTTTGGTAAAAAATTAATAAAAATTTTTGACATGAAAATAAATTAGTTAAAATACCTATCATGGACTTGAGTAGCGCCTCTCTCTTGGCAATTTGATCATCGTTCCATTCCTTGTATTTTTCAGTTTTTAGAAAATCCAGGAAATCCCCGAGTGTACGCTCCGCGTTGGAAACACACGTGACTGCTAATCCGAGTTTAGGTTGTGCTTCCGCCGGGTATTGCTCCAAGTTATCTCTGTCAAGCTCCGAGGGTTTGATCTTGTATCTGTGACAGATTTTGTTAAGTTCAATCTGCATCATGTTTACATTGTTGATTAACATTTTTCTTTTATCTCGGTCTATATCTGCTTCCTTGTTCTCGGCTGAGAACGGAGGAATGATTTCTAGCTCTGGGAGGGGTTTCATAGTGTGTGTCACTTTGTGCGGATGTCTCATGTCGGATTTGGACCAACCCACTCCCGGAGTTAGGTTTCGTTTGAGTGCGTTTGCGGCAGTATCTGGTTCAACCCCACCTTCTATCAGGGTCCCTGATTTAACAGGGAGTTCGTCCTCCTTGTACCAGTCCGACAGATCGTCCGTCTTCACGTCGTGTTTATTGATGAGAAGGTTGGTGATGTGTTTCATCACAGTTTGAAGGATTAAAGGTTTCTGGTTGTCCAGCCAGTTCTGAACCTCCTGATAATTAGAGACATATTAACAAATTATCGGAGAAAAAAATGTTTAATCTTGATTTTTACCGAAAAATACAAGAACTTTTTATCAATATTATCTTTAAAACATTTCATATTTCTCGTAAAATAATACATATTACAAGAAACTGTCTTAATATATGATTTCAAATAGGTATCCAGTGAAAGGCTGGGCAGTGGCAAGTCCGATTCACAATAGTACTCTTTCAAACCTCTATCTGAGTAGAACTGAGGAAGATATCGTTGTTTTTCTCTCTTAAAGAGTTGAATTCTTAAAACTTCCTACATTATCACTGTTACATAAATCCGTAGAGGAACCTTAAAATAGAAACCACAATTGCAAAGAATCTTTATTTTAACTTGACAAAGGTTAAAAGGGTACCGTTATAAAATTGAATATGACATTCTACGGCGAGTCACTCAAAATTGTGTCTACACTCTACTCTACAGCATACAGTAAATAAACTAAAAATGTTTGATTTGTTGATTGTTAACCTTGAGAGTTAAATTCTTCTGAACTGCTGGTTTCCCCGAGAGAGCTGCAGCTGCCGGGGACATGAGGGGAGCAGGTCCTCCCATATTGTTGAACCCACCACGATGCGGGGGTCCTCCCATCATATTGTATCCTCCTCCTCCCATTCCCATTCCACCCGGGCCCATTCCCATGCCACCGTTTCCCATCCCCATACCACCTCCGCCCATTCCCATACCACCCATTCCCATGCCTCCACCACCTCCCATTCCCATCCCACCACCTCCCATTCCCATACCACCGCCTCCCATTCCACCTCTACCTCCATATCCCCCACCATAACCTCCACGATTCCCCCAATTTCCTTGATTCTGATTCCAAGCCATCTTTAGCTGATCTGAAAAGAAAAATAATTATGAAATACATGTCGGCGGAGAAAGATTCAAATAGTGTCAGTGGTGGTGTAATAATAATAATTAACGATCGATCAATCTTCATTCCGTAGAATCAGTGTAGATTTTGATGTGACGGTATTCAGACAGCAGACCTTCAATTGGAACCATTTTAGTTTCTGATATATCCAGTGTTCTAAGCATACTTTCACATTGCTTACGTATCAGCAATAGTCCTTCATAACTCAGATTTTAACAGAAAGACAAATATAAGTTTTCTAGAGAGGGCAGGATTCCATTATATTCTGATAGATCCTCTCCAGTAATATTTGTATAACGTAAATCCAAGGATTTAAGTTTAGATTCACATAGCTGAATAGTATGCAAAAGTCCATTGTACGTCGCTTGAAATTATGTTCAGGTTCTCTAAACAAGGCGGGGTTCCATTGAATTCAGACAAACTTCTTCTGAAATACTTTGTTCAATATAAAATAGATCTACAATAGTATTTCCCATCCGTAGAATCATAGAGAGAAAAATTGTCTCATTTTATCAATGTAACTATTGGTGTAATGAGCTGCTTTTCGCAGAGCTCTCCATTGATTAAGGTTTAATCAAAAACTTCATCGAATGATTTTGCAAGCGTAGAATTCAGACAAACTCTCTCCACTTATTTTTGTATTTGATATATCCAGGGATCTCAGACTACTCCCACAAAGCTGAAGTATCTGCAGCAATCCTTTATTAGTGAGATAGGGACAGAACCTCAATTACAACTCCTTTAAACAAGACAGGGTTCCACTTTCTTCAGACAAATTCTCAAAAGTCATTAATGCGGCAGACATGTTCAGAGATATCAGTGTGCTACCACAAAGATGAAGTAAATGCATTAGTCCTTTGTCTGTAAGACGTTCACATAATTTCATTTTAAGATTCTCTAACCAAGGCAGAGTCCCCTTGTACTCAGTGTACCTCCACATAGCTCAAGCATCTCCAGCAGTCCTTTGTCTGCAAGTTTTCGACAACATACCATACTCAGGTTCTTTAACAAGGGCGGGGTCAAACAGTATTTAGACAAATTCTCACCAGATACATTTCCTCTTATATCTAGGGATTTAAGTGTACTCCCACAAACCTTAAATATCTCCCGCAAACCCTTGTCATTATTACAACTACTAAATATCAGATTTTCTAAACAAGGACTGGCTCCAATGTGTTGAGCCACATTATCACCTGTTATTCTTGTGTATCATACATTTAGAGATCTCAGTGTACTCCTACAATGTCGTAATATCTGCACCAGTCCTTTAACTGTAAACTCTTCACAGTACATCAAACAAAGACTCTCTAAACATGGCAGAGTTCCATGAAACTCTATTTCTCCGGTAATAACTGATGAATCCAAGGTTAGGGATCTAAGAGTACTCCCACACTGATCTAATATTTGGAGAAACCAGGAATCATTCATTGTTATTCCTGTGAGTTGTAGAGATTCTATTTGTTTTCAAGCAATCTTCAAGTCCTTAGGAACGAAATACTGTCTCATTGAAATATTCAAGGAAGACAAGAATGGAATAGAAAATATCACACTTAGTCTGTTTCGACTAACTATCCTATTTACCACGGTAATCTTTCCTCCGAGATGAAACATAATGATTTCAGTATGTTTCTCCACAAAATATTCTAAACCATCATGAGTCACATCTCCCACTTCTAAACCGAGAACTGTTTCAACTTGATCAGCAAACTTTTTAAGCTTAGCTGTTCTAAACTTTTTAGAAAATCTCCAGTAATGAACCAGTTCATAACACACATCCTTCCACTCTATTCTTAAGAGTAGAGGATACACCCCCCAACATCCTTTTACCCCTGTAGTCTAGGTACTGAACAATATGCCGGATAACTTCAGTACACATGAATTCAAGTCCTTGGGTTGGTTCAGTCATCATAAGGAGTATAGAAGTGTTCTTACTTCACTTATCTGAACCAGTATTCTCTTTATTTTCAGCGGGTTCCATCATTATGGGATCTGGGCTGAAATGAGACATACAAATACTAAATATCGTAATTTACTGAAAAACATTATGTAATATCCTAGAGAAGCTAGTTGGACCTCCCAACCCTCATTAATTTGTACATGCATCAAAAAATGAAAAATGACCATAGTTTGATATGTAGTCGCTGCGGCCACATTCCTATCCGCATGGCGATAGACCTGGAAATTGTCTAATCCAGATCCGGTTCAATAAATATTTATTATTTTATGATAAAATATTTAAGATCTGGTTCATGTACAAAATAGGAAGAGGGCAGGGTTTAAAAAGCGTATGCTGTAGGATACAGTCCACATCTTGATAATATGAGTAATTAGAACAAATAACTATTTAACACTCAAAATATTTATGTGACCTCTTGAAAAGACATATTTACTGTTAATATTTGTACATGATGAATTCATTTACAGAAAGTGACAGTACAGTGGTTAACATGTTGTAACGAGTTTTATTGATGAAATGATAATGTGATTAATGATCAACCTGAATCTTTATAGGTCGAATGTTTTGCAAAAATATGATTGCGCAAGCCGGGAAATAAATGCCACGTAAAATTCTACAAAAATCACAGTGATTTCATGTGTATATTTAAAAACATTTTTTGTTTTAAACTTTTCAAAATTTTCATTTGAATAAATAATAACATTTTGTATAAAAAGATGCAAAAGAATTTAAAAAAAATATTTTTGGAAATTTTAATTTAAAAACCGCTGTGATTTTTTAGTTGGTAAAGCCAAAGCAGCTGATTTGTAGGTTCATGAAACTTCTAGAGTTCCGAGTCCGACCGAACGAACATGTCGGATTAGATATTGGATCTTTAAAGAAGATAATTCCAATTTCAATCAGACAATTTCTGTAAAAATATGTTCACTTTTCATTTAAGTAAACAATCACATTTTCTATAATATATTTTATCCATTTAGATTAAAAATGTCGATGTCCTTTGATTTACCAAGTTCTGCCGTTGAGCAGTTAAAAGGATTTATCCTTCTGTGTCGAACCAAGCCTGAGATTCTTCACAAACCTGAACTTAAATTTTTCCGAGATTTCTTGGAATCTTTCGGTGCCAATTTACCCACTCCGCCACCGGAGGAAAAAACAGATAAACCGGCAGAGCAAGGGAAACCAAAACAAGCGGAACAAGAAAATATGGAGACTGAGGTATTTGCCAACATAACGGGTATTGGGTCCATCCTGGTATACGATTTTTTGGACCTTCACTATGTAGAAATTTGGGGAGGGGTATGTATTTTCATACCACTCCCCTTGCTACTTTTCCATAAATTTATTACGTATTAAGTATATTGTTTCTTATGTTTAATTGATCCCAAAGGACTATTATGTCATGTTGCTGCTTAAAGTTCTCAATTCTCATATTAATTAGGTGTCCGTTTCTTGAAAACACGAAAATTGGCGATCAGAGCCCAAGTCGTCCCAAATTAACGGTCATATTAAAGACGTACTTTGTATGTCTACATACTCTATAGTGTTTGTCCGTCAGATATCACCCAAAGTATAGGTGTCTGTACTTAATCTATTTTACTATACTTTTTATTTGGTTTTCGCAGATACGGATTCGGGCTCTGAGGACGTCTTGACTGTGTGCATCCTAGTAAAATGAGACATCGTCCCACAAAATACCACAAGGACGGTCCTTGTTCATACAAGAAACCTACTCTGACCCTAATATTAATATTGTTCTAAAGGATGCTGGTGAGGCGAGCAGTGACGAGAGTGATGTTGAGCTTGATATGGACGGAGTCTTGGAGAACCCTGACACCGAGGAGCCTCATGAGATGGGAGACCCAGACAAGAAGGAGATGACGGACGAGGAGATGGAGCAGTTTGATGAGGCCAGGAGCAGTGCCATGGGAACATTTTCTGAGGTCAAACTTTTTTTAACTTAAACTCTTCTTGTGTTTTTTACTAACAAATTACGATATTTTTAAAAAATTAATAGCTACATTCATTTTAAAAAAATCATCATAATGTAAAAGTTTAGTTTACAATTTTGCCAAATTTTGAAGCATTGAGTGTGTTGGGAGAGTACTGTTTAAATAATAAAAAGGCATTCTAGTTAATGTATTTAAGTTATTGTCAGAAAATAAAATTTCACTCTATTACTAAAAAATGGTTTTATAAAATTGCAAATCATTAATTGTAATACAGTTCATAGAAAAATTTCTTTTTATGAGAATAAAACTAACAGTAATTGATCAGGGTGAGTGGGAGAAAGCTATTGAGCTGTTCACCAATGCGATCAAACTCAACCCCAACTCTGCTGCAATGTTTGCAAAGCGTGGAACATGCTTCCTCAAGCTGAATAAGCCGAGGGCATGTGTTAGAGACTGCACCAGGTAAATTGTTAAGATCTATTCTTGGGGGTGGGGATTTAGGATACCCCTTCCCTCCTGGGGTTTATATTTTATAGGTAAATTTATTTTTACCATCAGATGTTATGTATGTTTTCAATAAGAGTGATTGATGAAGTTTTCATTAAAATATAAGGAAATATGGTTTGAGAATACTAGAGAAATTTTGTTAAAATCAGAACATATTTTTCCCACACTTTCCCCACTACACCTTTCCCCACTACACCTTTCCCCACTACACCTTTCCCCACTACACCTTTTTTCGGGATTTTCAATTATTTTATTTAAGTCTTGATATTTTAACCCTAACTGAATTCCATATTTTGTATTTTAAATTTCTCGACCAATTTTTCAAATTTTTAGATTTTCAATTGTGTATTCTAGAGCTATTGAACTGAACCCTGACAATGCGACCGCGTACAAATTCCGTGGAAGATGCCATCGCCTCCTTGGCAACTTCGCCGAGGCCGCCAAGGATCTTAGAACAGCTTGCAAGATTGATTTCGATGAGCAGGTTTGTGATGATTTGATCAGAGTTGTAGACACTTTCTTGATTTCTTGAACACTCCCCCCCCCCTCAAATAATTTTGCATTAGGAGTATTGAATATTTCTGGAGTTCTTGCATCAATTTGATTCGAAAATGGATTCTAGGTGTTAGATGTCATGAAATCTTGTTATTGTACCTTTTGATAAATCATGGTTTTTGCAGTCTAATCAGAAGATTAATGAATTTGTAAAAATGTTCATATTAATAGGATCTATTTAGTCATAATAAAGTATTTAACAGGGGTGTATATTGTTCTGTTTGCAAAAATATGAGCTTTCATTGGGTTTGGGTAAAATTGAAGATACAAGGAAAAAAGGAAAGGGGAAAGGAAAGAGAAAATAGAGAAGAGGGAAGGGAAAAGGAGAAGAGCTCAGGAAGATGGGAAGAGGGAAGGGAAAAGGGGGAAGAGGGAAGAAAAAAACTCACAAAAAATAAATTTAAAAACATTATCAGAAATGATTAAAAAACTAAGGGGGGGGGGGGGCCTTGAAGTTGACCTTTTAAGGGCACCAAAACGCTCCATTATACTAAGAAAATCCTAAAAATTTCTTCTGTAAAAATGGATCCGGATTCGCTTATTAAGATCCCTTCCATTATTTTAATCCGAATCCGGATACGTGTCAAGACCAAATGGATGCGGATCTAGCAGGGGTGTATATTTTCTTCGAAGATTGTGCGGACTTCAGAAACCTACATAATATACCTGTTTTTAAGTTGTGAATTTGGGGGGAAAATATGATTCTGAAAGGGGGGGGGGGATACGAGTCTCACAACTAATATACACCCCTGGTGATTTGGGGAAAAAATATTATTCTGAAAAGGGGGGAATACGAGTCTCACAACTAATATACACCCCTGGTATTTAGTAAGATTTAAACCACTTTTTTGAGCTTCTTTGAAAAGAATATTGAAAACTAAAATTTTATTATGTTATTAGTTTTAATAATTTTGATAAGAATAATAGATGATTAGAATATTTATTTATTTAACGCTCTATTAACCAGAAAAAGTAGGAAAAATATCATTGATTTATTTCATGATTTAAACATATTCAGGCGGACGAATGGTTGAGGGAGGTGACACCCAACGCCAAGAAGCTGGAGGAGCACGAGAGGAAGAAGGAGCGTAAACAGGCCGCCAAGGAGTTGGCTGAGAAGAAGGAGAGGATTAAGAAGGCGCAGGAGGCTAGAGCTGCCGCCGCTGCTGCTAGAGCTTCTCAGGTATATCAATCCTGTTTCATCCCTGTATCATAATCTCTCAACCCCCCATCCCCCCCCCAATAACTTAATTTTTTGGCACAAGGCCAGGGGTTCATCAAGACTTAATCTTGGTGAAGATTGTACACCAATAGATTCGAAAAAATGCTTTTGAACAGCATAATCTTCCATAAATAGTCTTGTTAGTTCATGAAATCTGCCACAAAGTGAAGGGTTACACCGGCCATAAAATCTCAAGATGAACCCCAACACCATACTGCATATTATGCACCATGGTTTCTACATAGAAAAAATGTGAAACAAAGACTACCTTCTCAAGAAAAGGGAAAATACAAGTTTTAAAAAGAATTTTGATAATTCCTTGATATTCTCACTTTTTTGTGATGTTTAACTCTGACTAATGCAGGATGATGAGGATGAAATGGGCGGTATGCCCGGTGGTATGGGGGGACTCGGCGGTATTCTTAATGATCCTGAGCTTATGGCCGCCCTAGCGGATCCCGAGGTCGCTAAAGCGTTCCAGGATATCACCTCCAACCCCGCCAACATCATGAAGTACCAGGGGAACCCTAAGGTTATGGCACTAGCAGCCAAATTGGCCTCCAAGGTCGGAGGGGGTATGGGCGGTATGCCTGGCATGCCAGGTATGGGGGGCATGCCTGGTATGGGAGGTATGGGAGGAATGCCGGGTATGGGAGGATTCCCCGGGTTTGGAGGTATGGGAGGTATGCCAGGAATGGGAGGAGAGGAACCTGCATCTACTCCTAAACCACCTCCATCCTCTACCGATGATCTGGACTAGGTCCTAGACTCAAGTTTTCCGTTCTTATCTTCTTCTGATATTTATCTCCGTATTCACGTTCACAAATGAAAAATATGAATTCTGAGACACAAAAGTCATAATTTTTTTCGTTCCTCTGGTGAGTAATCGTCACGCTTTGTGATTTATGGCATTTTATTCTTTGCAGAGAAATGAGTTCCTTGTTGGTCGGATTTTTCCAACAGCTCCGGGTGCAAAGTAGAGTACAGAAAAGGTTGGGAAATATAATTTCATTTAAAATGGACAAATATGGTTACAACATCTTCCCGCAAATGTCTGAATGTGATATCTGATTATCTTATTATATAAAGTTTCAATGTACAGAAGAACTCCTAAAACTGCGGAAAAGGCTAATTTTATGATTTTGAATGATACAATGAACATGGAACACAGTGCACACGAACCTATTTAATTTATTAAGGTAACTTTTAAGCTATTGGTTAAACTAATTGCCTGATAACAACATACAACATACAAAAGAATTTCGTCTTTCTATTTCACAAGTTTATGTGTGATGTGTATTTATTTCACACTATTGTGCGTCCTCCCTTTTTCTAGTGTATTATATTCCCTTGACTAAGGTTTGCTCCGGTATCCCAATTCTTCAGTACTACCACACACCGGAGAGGGTTGGATGAGTTCTTTGAAGAAGAGAAGATGAGAGGTGAAGATAAGGAACAGTTTTATCAGCAGATTTGAAAACTAAAATTGGTTTGGTCGGGATATTTTTCTTTCCTCGAAATGAAACCGGTTTTTTAAAGAATTATGTCCTTTTCCTGTCATTCAATACTCTTCAAACGAGCAAGGTACGGTTTTCTAGTTTTTTTTTTCTTGTCTCTTCAAGTTTTATGTGTTTTGACATTATTCATTTAAAAAATTCCTTATGGTAAAGCAGTGTTTCGGATCCATATCATTTTGATTCGGATCCGGATCCGCGGATCCGCATCCGTGATGATGGATCCGAGGTAACTTTTGATTCTGTGAATCGGATTTTCCCTATTAAATGTTATGCAAGGTTATAATTTATAAACTATAGTAATCTTAAAGTTAAAAATGTCGTCATTACTATTATATAAATGTAAGCATTAAATTATTAAAGATAATTTTGAAAAATTTTCGTCATGTAAATAATACATTTACGAACCATTTTGATTTATTTATTCCATGGTTTTGGTTAATTTTTGGCGCTACCCGGATCCATATCAACGTTTCCTGATCCGGATCCGGATCCGACCAAATGATACGGATCCGACCGGATCCGGATCCGAAACACTGTGGTAAAGGTTACACAATACACAATTTCCTTGTACTTTTCTTGTTCTTTTATTTGTTTATTTAAGTTGTTTTCTTATTATTATTTATTTTATATATTCATTGTCTTAAAAAAAAAATATTTTTTGCTTATATCTTTAATATTATAGGACGAACTTCTGATGATGCCAATGTTTTTGGCGAAATATATTGAGAAGAAAATTATGTAAATGCGATAGAGTGTAGGGTTGGGATTTGTTTTAAAAAGTAACAATTTGTAATGCACAATTAGATTTTCTGGGTTAACATTTTTTTGTTGGTTTTGCATACTTATTCGTTCATTTTTTTAATTCATTAAAAATGTTAATTAATTTTAGGATCATTGATTGTTTCACTTGATTTAAATGTCATTATTGTAAGTTTAAAACTTGAAGAAACCATCCCCTCCACCAAAAAAAAATATTCAACGGGAAATTCCAGTGACTCTTCGTTTTGATAGGTTATACTCATATTACATCCATATCCTTAAAAGCTATGTTTGAGCAAGAATAGATGAGATATCAATCTTAATAACTTCCAAAATTGATTATTCTAATTGTGGCTTCCCTGAAAAAAGTGGCTTGCAGAGACAATGGAGGAAATTTGCCAGTTTTTATGCAAAAAAAAACGACAATATCTTCCACATTTTTGATCAAATAAACGGTTACGTAGTATTGTGAGTTGAGCATGCCTACATTTAAATTTAGAGTCCCTTTAGGCTAAAAAAAAGTCTGTTAACTTTTATCTGAAAACTGGGTTGGGTAGATCCGTGTAGGCCGAGCCTGGAAACCTGACGAGCTCCGGCTCAAGAGTAACTCCGACCTGCACAAGCTCTGGTTTGTCTTGTTAAAGGAGAGGAACATGCTTCTCACCATGGAGGCTGCCTACCAGGATAAATATGTAGCTATGCCTAACCCGGAGAGAAAGGATAAGGTAGGTTTCAGATATTTGTTCTGTAATTTAACATTTCAACCCAGCCATATTGACTGGTGGACTACAAATTTTTCTCATCTCAATTTTTTTTACCAAATTTATTTTTATAGAAATGCAACCTTTTCCAGTATTTTTCACTGTCATTTATTGTGAAATTTAAATTTCGACTATTTGTATCTTCTTATTGAATTCAAAGTACACTGATGGTTGTAAATACTTAAACTCTTGAAATTTTTTGATCAGATTAGTTTTTTTTTTTACTTAATTCACCGATTTAGTCCAGATGATTAAATTGTTTGTTTTTCATCTGTTATTTAGTCTTGTTCGTTCGTTAGTTTACTGTTTTTGTGTTTAATCATCTGATTTAGTCGGGTTGATCACTAATTAGTTTGATTGAACGTTTTTAACTTCTGATTATTGTCTGGTTGATTACATGTCTCTTTATAATCATCTAATGTAGTCCGGTTGATCAATGTTCATTTATAAACAAGATTTTTTCCTGATAATTAGGTTGTCAGCGTTGTTCCATTCTCTGATTTAGTCCGATTGATCATTGCTGAATTAGTCTGGTTTATAACTTTATAGGTGGTCATATCGCTGTGTTATCGATGATTTGGTTTGGTTAATCACTTAGTTAGCTCTGTATAATCCACAGAATTAGTTCGGTTTATCAAGTTGTTTGCTCTTTATAGTGAATAATCCAGTAATTTAGTCCGGTTAATCAGGTAGTTTGCGCTGTTAAATCCTCTGATTTAGTCCGGTTGATCATGTAGTTAGTTCTGTATTATCCATTGAATTAGTCCTGTTGATCAGGTTGAAGAGAGTATGGAGAATCTGGAAGAAGTTGTAAAGGAGAGAAATCGAGCATATTATCAACTTGAAGTTGGAATTACAGGTCAACCTTCTTCTTCATTAAGGGACTGTAAATGGACCTTCCACTTATAGAGAGGGGCATGTCCAATTCCCAACGGTACCCTTTTGAACCTTTGTCCGGACAATGATGAGGGAGATACCCTCATTTGTATAGCTGAAGATTAGGTGCCGGGAGACTCGAAGGTACAGTGTACACTGTACTCTCCGTGCTAGTGTACACTCGCGCGGTTTCTTAACACTTAATTTCCCGCTAGATGAATAGGATTATCTACGAAATCCTTAATCCTTGATCAAACAAAGATTTAAAGGGTATCGTTGTAAATCGGACATGCATCTATAGTTTCTAAATCTGGTCTTAGTGTAGCTTCTTCTTATGTATTATGTATAAATAGGGTTTTTACCGATTTGACTCAAATTTTGATCTGGGAACTCGATAGAACCACGGGGATGTTCTTAGGTTGATTTAAACTTATGTGGGTTGACTTTTATATAGAAAGTTTAGTTTCCATGCAAATCTGGATCGCCAAAAATAAAAATAAAAAGAATTTTGGAGTTTCTTAAGCATAGTTTGAAATTATAATTTTAAAATGATATAAGAAATTTTTAAGACTTTTCGTTGATTGAAAAGACCTAAAAATAATATCAAGAAGGAGGAAAGAAATTGACTTTTTAAAACACGCTAAACTAATTTTTAAGAAAATATTGAACTGATATTTAGGAGAACGAGATAGATTTTTCCGAAGAGATGCCCTGGGCCGTATTGTTCCTTATAAACCTGTAGAGCATGCTCTACCAGCAATTGTCAACGCTCCTTACAGAAGATTTCTTAGACACAAGTCAGTTTATGTTTAAGGGATTCTCCATTTAAAAGTGGTCATGCCCGATTCAAGACCAAATCCTTTTTATCTTAATCAAAAACGTGGAAGATATCGTCGATTTTCTAGCGAGAAGCATGGCACTTTAAGAGATAACACTATTTTTATATAGCGAAATCACAAATATCTTGTTTATCCTTGGATACCGTTGTGAATCGGACATGTTACTCTATAAATGGAAAGTCATTTGAAAGTATGTGGGCAGTACAGCTGTATTCTGAAAGTATGTGGGCAGTACAGCTGTATTCTTACGTCACAAGTGTCAACTCAGTTTTTGTGTCCGACAAAATTATTAATATTAGTGATAAATTTTTTAATTAAGTGCTCATCTTACAGTAAAATAAGTGCAATTTTATGTGATCTTTATTTTTTGTTTTTACACTTTTTATTTAATCCTGGAAAACATGTCAAATAATATGAGAAAAAAAAATTTCCTTGTTATATTTGACACTTGTGACGTCGTGTATAATAATTGCCACAGCCACCTATTGTACTTAATAATCTATTTTGGCAGTACCAACCCGCATGTACTATATTTAAGTCAAAACAGAATCTACAAAGATGCCATTTAGAATAGTCAAAAGCAAAAAAGAAGAAATTCGAACCTTTTGATTGGACGGAACTTACTTTAATCTGGATGAACTACAAAATAGAACACAATTTTTGATGATATATTAAAAAATTAATATTGTTGTTTAGATATGGTTGCAGTATGAACCCGTACGTTCAAGAATTTCTTGGTAAATACCAAGAGAAGATTAATAGAAGAGAGAACCATAAAGTTCTGATGGAGATGAGAGATGTAAGGATTTTTGTGTTTATTGGAGGAGATGATGGGGACAACTTGATTTTTATGGAGTTCCATTTTTTTTTTTAAGCGACAAACACCGGTCTTTTTTTAAAGGCGACAAATACCTGTCATTTTATCTCTGGAATGCGACAAAAAACCGCCCATTTTCATGAGTTTATTTTTGTCATCAAATATGGCTGATTTTTATTTTTAATTTGAGGCAGAAGAAAAAAGCTGCTAATTTGTAGATTTAAAAAACCTTATTTTTTTAAGTTCGTCCTATCCAATTAATTTTTTAAGTTCGTCCTATCCAATTAATTTTTTAAGTTCGTCCTATCCAATTAATTTTTTTCTGTTTCAGGCCGCCAAAATAGTTCGAAGATTTCCTGATGTGAATATTGAGGCTTTACAGGAGAGATTTCCTTTACTAGACCCTGCCAGGTTAATGAGATGGAAGAATATACGAGGACATAATAATAAAAATCAAAACGTTTAGTTTACATAATTTCAGAAATATGGTTCAAAAACCGACAGGAGAAGAGTTCAAATCAGTGAGTTAGCACTGTCGATAAAATGGCTTTTTTACTCTTTAAAGCGGAGTTGGTGGGACGGATTAGTTTAAGTTTTGTTCACAGAAAGTTTAATTCTTATAGAACACTTAGAGACCTGAACAGGTTCGGAGTTGATCTCCTACCAGAGAAATTAAATCGAAGGTTATTCCTCGGAGTCAAATCGAAACCTCTGGACGAGGATCTCATTGAATCCTCTCTTTCAGAACTTGAGAAGTTTGGTTTAAATTCTCCCGGATTAAAGATTGATTTGCCGGAGATTACGGATCTTCTTCCTAACTTGAAAGGACGAAATGTACTTGACCATTTCTCCAAGATTGGTAAAGAGCAAACGCAACCCTACCTCTCCGTCCTGAGCCCGCTGTTACAAGCTGAGGTTCCCCCGGCTCCTGTGTATTGGAGAATAGAGCCGGGTTGGACGAGATACGGGTTTGATGGATCTGTAGAGAAAGTTAATTATCCTTTAGGTAAAACTCGTAAAACGACAAAATATTAGGGTCTTTCACGAAAGTAGATAATTTCGCCTATTTTCAATTGACAATAATGGACTTTAATCTAAACCTTTAAGTTCTGTTTCCCTTGAAAGGTTTTTTTTCTCTATAAGAGACTCTAGACGTGAATTCAGGTGAACTTCCATCTGTAGAGTGTCGTGTCCGATTTGCAACAGTACCTTTATGACTAAGAATGTCGGAGATAGTGTTATTAATCTACACAAACGTTACGCTTGTAAATGTGAAACTTTTTGTTATATTTCAGAAATATAACAATTACCTTCTAGAAGTAACATAATATAAATATTAACTTTAACTGTCGAATTTTTAAACCCGCTTGAGTTCAAAAGTAGCAATTTAAACACTATTTGGGTAATATACAAACGTAGCTCTCAGCACTCGATGAACAACCAAAGGATTAAAGGGTACTGGTGTTAATCGGGCATTGCCCTATTTGCATGGTGGGGCATTTGAAATTACGCTTGCAGTTCAGGTTTGATAGAAATATTTTGAAGCACTAAGTGTGATCTAAACTATCGTTTACTATTCCTAAATCTTGTTTTCAGAACCTGCCACAGTTTTCGATGTTGAAGTGAGTGTGAAAACTGATCCTAGAGCTGTGATGGCTGTAGCTTGTTCCTCTCAGGCCTGGTACGCCTGGCTCTCTCCGCATTTTCTCGCCGACGGATTTCCGTCAAGGATGACCCCGGACTCCATGATCCCACTCGGATCCGATTCCTCTGTTAAAGTGGTGATCGGGCATAATGTATCCTATGATAGAATCCGTATCGGAGACGAATACAGGTTGGATAGGTCTGGAACAAGGTTCATGGACACCATGTCTATGCATATTGCCATGAGCGGGATGACAAGTAGTCAGCGTATGATGAAACAGGCGGAGAAAAATATGGAAGAGGACGGGAAACCAACCTGGCTCAAGCAGACCTCTATGAATAGTCTGGCTGATGTCCATCAGTTCTACTGCAACCCGGAGAACAGGATTGAAAAGGATGTTAGAGACTCTTTTGTAAAACTTTCCCTGGCAGAGCTCCGGCAAGATATACCGAACCTTCTTAATTACTGTGCCGGAGATGTTCTTGCAACCCTGGATGTTTCCAAAGTTCTCATTCCAAAATTTCTCCGGGCTTGTCCACATCCTGTAACTCTAAGTGGTATGTTAACCATGTCGACATCTTTTCTACCCACAAACAACTGTTGGAATAGGTAGGTAAGTGCCATGATGTTTCCTGTTTTTCTATTTAAAAATATGTTTCAGCTGATTTATTTACTAATCTCTCATTAGTGAATATGTTTAATTCCTCACGAGGAATTTGAATAACTTTCTACTCATCTTTGATTACAGGGTTACCCACAAAGGATGTGACGCCCTGAAACCCAATAGCTATTTGAAGTTTAAATTTGGGTTTCTATCTCAAACATAGTCTTTAAATGACATTTAAAAAGATTTCAAAAAGAAAGAATCAATTTTAAAGGTTCTGGGAACCTGAATTTAACAAAATAAGCTGAACAAATTCCGTACAGTCGTCTCTTAAGTCTCATCCTTTTGTGAATAACCCTGTATACTATTCTCTAGATATCTGGAAGATGCTGATGCTGCCTACGATGTGCTCGAGAAAACTATGCTTGAACAGCTGGAGACTGAAGTACGGTTGGCTGCTGCACTGATCAAGGATACAAGATATACCCAGGATCCTTGGCTCTGGGATTTAGACTGGAAACCTGCTAGTCTCAGGACAAAGAAGAGAAAGTTCCTGGACAAGTTGAAAACGGACGAACTGCTGACCGACAAGGAGAACAAGTTCCCATCCTGGTTCCAGGATCTAGCGGATGAAGAGGACGGACGAGTGTTCCTGAATATCTCCACCAGTAAACGGGTTGTGCCGAAGATCCTTAAACTGACCTGGAAAGGGTTTCCTTTGCATTTTGATAAAACTGAGAAGTGGGGATACCTCGCACCTACACCAAATGCGGAGACCATTATGGAGTCGATTGAAAATGGAGAAATGGAGACGAGGTTTCCATTAAAAGAGTATCTGGGTACCCTTGAGAACTGGAGGAGTGTGAGAAGCACGGATCCAACGGATATATTTGTAGATCAGATTCCTGACTATTCAGATAATAAATATCTGAAAAAACCAGGTAAACCCGATAAATCTGAGGTTGGGAAAGATATCGGATTACCAGGAGTACTTTTCTACAAACTACCTCACAAGAACGGTAGTTCGTCCTATCCAATTATATCGGATTACCAGGAGTACTTTTCTACAAACTACCTCACAAGAACGGTCCCAGGTTCAGGGTTGGAAATCCTCTAGGGAAAGACTTTCTCTCCGCTTGTGGAGAAGGTGGCGCTCTTGCATCCAAAATAAAAAATCTTGCCGGAGAACTGCTGAAGACTAGTTCTCAGCTGGCCTACTGGAGAAATGCTAAGGATAGATTACTAGAGCAGGTTAAGGTTGACCTGCCTTCGGAGAATTTACCTGATTGCGTCACTTCCGATCCAGCCTTCAAATCTGATAATGTTTACAGTATCATTTTTCCTTCCTTAGTTGTATCTGGAACTGTCACAAGAAGAGCTGTGGAGAAAACCTGGCTTACTGCGAGCAACGCGAGAAAAGACCGAGTCGGGTCAGAACTCAAAACCGCCATCCGTGCTCCGCCTGGGTTCCATTTTGTCGGCGCAGATGTGGACAGTCAGGAGCTGTGGTTAGCAAGTATACTCGGAGATGCTGAATGCGGAGGACACGGTTCTACTCCTCTGGGTTGGATGAGTCTCCAGGGAGAGAGATCAAAGGGCACCGACCTTCATAGTAAAACCGCTAGCGCTGCTCAGGTATCCCGAGATCAGGCTAAAATCTTGAACTATGCCAGGATCTACGGAGCAGGAGAACAGTTTGCAAGATTGCTTCTCAAACAGTTCAACCCGGATCTAACTGAGAGCGAGGTTATGTCCCGGGCTCGACATATGTACGAGCAAACCAAGGGGTTGAGAGGATATAAACTAAACGAGAAAGGAAAATGGTTGTACGATTTCCTGTTCCAGGAGGAGAAGGAATATCATGGTTCTATGGTTTCCAAGAAAATGATGAATATTTTGGCCAAAAAGATGCTTTTTATCAACCGAGTGATTGAAGAGAGTAAAATGATCAACCATAAAGGATCCAGTATACTAGTTCATCAACTTACCGAGGAGGCAGTATCTTTATATCAACAGTTTACAGGATCTACCATCTCAACTGTATCTCCGGTTCTCCTGGATGACGGGAAACTACGCGAGTTCTATCTGTACCTGGAGGAGAAGTTCGGTGAAACCAGTCAGTCCGACTTTGACGTGTTAAACTCCTTGGTTCAGCAGACGATTTGGTTTGGTGGTAGTGAGTCTCATACTTTCAACAAATTAGAAGAGATTGCTATGTCCACGTTCCCCAAAACTCCTGTACTTGGTAATTATGTTATTCAGTGCTTAGGATCCATTTAATCTTGATGCGGATCCGGATCCTGGATCCGGATCCAGGCCATTTCTTTAAGATTTACTGAATTTCTTTAACAAAAAATAATTTTCAAATTTTTTGTTTTATTTTTTTTCGTTTATTTTTATCCTAAAACTTGATGAACCATTCAGAAATGAGGAAATTCTTATCTTTTTCAAAAGTTCAGATTTTGGTTTAGGAGTAAAAAAGTTTTTTTTGCAGTTTTTGGTTGATATTTTACCCCTTGAATCCGGATCCGTGGATCCGCATATATTTGCGGATCCGGATCCAGGAAGCCAAAATCATCCGGATCCTAAGCACTGATGTTATTTTTTGGTTTTAAGGCCGCCTTGGCAAATTTTTAGAAGTTAAAAACCGTAATTTTTCATACTGACATTTAACAAACTTAGTCCTTCCCCTGGCCTTTAGTGCTTAAAAAGAGATGTGTTGTAAATCCTTGATGGCATTTTTGAAATAAAGAGTCTCTTTAAATTACTGCATCAATCCCTTTAAACTAGATATTTTCAGGAGCAAATATCTCTAAAGCTCTGGATTCACGCCTGATCGGACGGAACTATCTTCCATCCCGGATAAACTGGGTGGTTCAGAGTACTGCGGTAGACTTTCTTCATCTTCTCCTCTCTAGTATAGAGTGGTTCTTTATCCAGTTTAATATCAAGGTAGATAATCACATATATATAGTTGACCCCCCCCCCCCCAATTTTCAAGAGGAAAAAAAAACAAATTCTTTAGCTATTCCCTTGTTGGTAGAGAGTCAAGACTGCTTCGAAAAAAAATTGCTGGAACTAAGCTAGAAAATATATTTCGATATAATACATATCCTTCCAAATTCTTCAGGTGTAGTGTGGAATCAGAAACTCAAAACTAATTCAACCTTCTTTCAAATTTTAATAGTTTTATTTTTTTCCTTTTGAAACCTTACATAACCTTACATATCTTCTTGTAACACAAATTCCGTTTAATCAATCTGCTGTGCATAAAATAAAGGAAATAAAATTTTGTGTCTTAAAGAATTTAATGGAATCGACGTAAAAAGGGAAAGGAAAATGATGATTTAGATAAAAAGGGTTGATTCAGCTGCTAGTCATGGCAGTGTAGATCAGGAATTGTTTTTCAACTAATTTCTAACAAGGAGTATGGAATAGAAGGGAGATAGGGGTACTCCATTTGTATAAGAAATATTTAGAATAGGTTATTATATACGCGGTAATTGTACATCAGACAAATATTTCTTTTTCAAATGAAGTGCCGTCTGCAAAACATGTATATAAATCATATGGTAGGGCGGGCCGCGTCAGTTATATCTCCCTTCTATTCCATATTCCTTGATTGCTAATTAAAGTTTTAAGTTTATTTTTCTAAATAATGTTTTAGGGTCGATTTGTAATCAGCATTCATGACGAGGTGAGATACATGGTTCGATCCGAGGACAGGTACAAGGCTGCCCTCGCTCTCCATCTCTCCAACCTCCTGGTCAGGTCCCACGTAGCTGCCAGCCTCGGGCTAAACAACCTCCCGGCAATTACTGCGTTCTTCTCCAGTGTGGATATAGATACAGTCCTACGGAAAGAACCGAACAGTGATTGCATCACCCCCAGTAATCCACTAGGACTGGAGAAGGGACACGGGGTTCCGTTCGGAGAAGGTTTGGATATTTTCCAGGTTCTGGAGAAGATACAGAACAAGGAGAAGGAAGGAGAGAGGATGAAGTCCTCTTCATTGTGATATCTAACTTTTTTTTTTAAATGAGCTTTATTAATCATTCTGCAAAATGTGGATTGTGGAAACCGTGAATTATTAGAAAATATAGATTTTTTACAAAAAAAAAAAAAAAAATTTTATGTTCTGTATATTTACGTTAAGGGTGCCCGTAGAAAAAATGTTCAGATCCTTTCAGCACGTGTCTTACACGTTTCTGTAATAAAATGGTAAACGAAGATGCAAATGTTTTTTCTTAATTCAAAATTCATTCAGCGAAACACGTTTTGTAAATATTTTTTTTTCAAAATATGTCGATATGGGACCAAAATATTCGTCTTGAAACACTGAATTCTAAAATTTTTAAATGCACAATTTTTGCTGCTGGTCATTTTTTTTTGGGGGGGGGGGAATCATTTTGTCTCAGGGTTATTTACATAACTTGATGATTTTTAAGCGCATGAATAGTTCAGAAATTAAGAGGGTTCAGGAATAAAATTCTTTTTATTAACACACTTTGGTATAGTTTAAGTATATAAATGTTGCTAGCTAACTTGAAAATAGTTAAATTTCTCCAAAAATATTTGCAATTTTACTTAAAATATTTGTTAACAATTTTTTTATCTCGAATTTTAGCCAATATGCTGCTTTATATAGAAGGATTCCGTAGTTTCCTTGGAACAAACCTAACGTTTGGTTTAATTTGAACATTCAAATGACAGAAGACACTTTCACATAGTCCCTCTATATACTATAACCTCTTCTGAACGAATCCAAACAATTTTATGATCATCAAAATATAATAACAAATAAAAATGAATTCTTATCTAAGGAGAATTATAGGTTTAAAATAGTAGATGGAAACTGAGATTTATAGGTTTAAAGTAGAAGATGGAAACTGAGGTTTTTAGGTTTAAAGTAGTAGATGGAAAACTGAGGTTTATAGGTTAAAGTAGTATATGGAAAACTGAGGTTTATAGGTTAAAGTAGTAGATGGAAAACTGAGGTTTATAGGTTTAAAGTAGTAGATGGAAAACTGAGGTTTATAGGTTAAAGTAGTAGATGGAAAACTGAGGTTTATAGGTTTAAAGTAGTAGATGGAAAACTGAGGTTTATAGGTTTAAAGTAGTAGATAGAAAACTGAGGACTATTGGTTTAATGACTAGATGGAAAACTAACCTTACTGGTTTAAAGTAGTAGATGGAAAACTGAGGTTTATAGGTTTAAAGTAGTAGATGGAAAACTGAGGTTTATAGGTTTAATGTACTAGATGGAAAAATAAGCTTACTGGTTTAAAGTAGTAAATGAAAAACGAGGTTTATAGGTTTAATGTACTAGATGGAAAACTAAGCTTACTGGTTTAAAGTAGTAGATGGAAAACTGGGGTTAACAGGTTTTAAGTAGTAGATGGAAAACTGAGGTTTATAGGTTTAAAGTAGTATATGAAAAACTGAGGTTTATAGGTTTAATGTACTAGATGGAAAACTGAGGTTTATAGGTTTAAAGATGTAGATGGAAAACTAAGGTCTATAGGTTTAAAGTAGTAGATGGAAAACTAAGCTTACTGGTTTAAAGTAGTAGATGGAAAACTGAGGTTAATAGGTTTAAAGTAGTAGATGGAAACTGAGGTTTATAGGTTTAAAGTAGTAGATGTAAAACTGAGGTTTATAGGTTTAAAGTAGTAGATAGAAAACTGAGGTCTATTGGTTTAATGACTAGATGGAAAACTAACCTTACTGGTTTAAAGTAGTAGATGGAAAACTGAGGTTTATAAGGTTTAAAGTAGTAGATGGAAAACTGAGGTTTATAAGGTTTAAAGTAGTAGATGGAAAAATGAGGTTTATAGGTTTAAAGTAGTATATGGAAAACTGAGGTTTGTAGGTTTAAAGTAGTAGATGGAAAGCAGGTCTATAGGTTTAATGTAACTAGATGGAAAACTGAGGTCTATAGGTTTAATGTACTAGATGGAAAACTAAGCTTACTGGTTTAAAGTAGTAGATAGAAAACTGAGGTTTATAGGTTTAAAGTAGTAGATGGAAGCCGAGGTTTATAGGTTTAATGAACTAGATGGAAAACTGAGTTTACTGGTTTAAATTAGTAGATGGAAAACTGAGGTTTATAGGTTTAAAGTAGTAGATGGAAACTGAGGTTTATAGGTTTAATGTGCTAGATGGAAAACTGAGGTTTATAGGTTTAAAGTAGTAGATGGAAAACTGAGGTTTATAGGTTTAAAGTAGTAGATGGAAAACTGAGGTTTATAGGTTTTAAGTAGTATATGGAAAACTGAGGTTTGGGTTAAAATAAAGGGTTACCCACAAATAATGAGACCGTAGAGACGACCCAGAACTCTCAAGATATAATGATTCTGCAAGGTATAATTAAGTCTTGGAGAATTAGCTTTTAATGGCTTAATTAAAGATTTGGTCAAGAAAGAAATAAGTTTACAGTTGCAGAAGATCATGTATATAAGGAAACAACTAGTAAAAATTCCGTACAGTCGTCTATGGAGTCTCTACCCTTGCGGGTAACCCTGAATATTTGAGGTATCATGTTTAAAGTAGTAGATTGGAGAACAAAGGTTTACAGGCCTAAGGTACTAGGTGGAAAACTAAGGTTTAAAGTAAACCGTGTTAACCATAAAACTAAGGTTTAAAGTACCGTGTTAACCGTAAAACAGTGAAATAATTATTTTATTTTTGTCATATCATTTGTAACAATTACAAAATAAAGAATGATGACAACAATTATTCCAGTTTTCTGGTTATCTCTGTAGAAAGTTCAAACAAATTAGATTTCAGATACATTTTTTGACTACATAAGAAGGTTCGATTTATGAAAATTTGTTTATTTTTACAAAACTAAAACAATTTAACATTATGGTTCTGTTTGAGATGATGAAGTAATGAATCCGGACTCCGGGGTGATAGAGAGCACAAGGAGCAGCAGAGTTTAGGAGATCTTCTCTCAGGAGGGTTGGGTTTCGGCTCCAGGTGCTCGGATTTATGCTGGATAAAAAGAAGGATATGGTCTAGTGGAAAGTGATGAAGGCACACTCCGCATGTAAGGAAATCTGGATATACTGCAGGAACTGGAACCTCAAAATCCGGATATACTGCAGGAACTGGAACCTCAAAATCCGGATATACTGCAGGAACTGGAACCTCAAAATCTGGATATACTGCAGGAACTGGAACCTCAAAATCCGGATATACTGCAGGAACTGGAACCTCAAAATCCGGATATACTGGAACCTGAAAATTATCGAATATAACATATACAAAACACAAGAGGTTGGGATTAAATAAAATGTTGTATACTGGGATGCAAGCTCTACCTATGCATCAATTTTCAAGACCGGATCGACTTTGAAGTGTTGCAACGCCTTGACCTTTGGTGTTAACTTGTACATGTAAAATCTAAAACGTGTTTCTAGATTTAGTTTGAAAAAAACAAAATATTATTGAGTTTATGTTATTGAATACTAATATATCAGAACACATATAGGCAAATTTCTTAGACGTTCTACCATAGGTAGAACCATAGTCACACTATGGTTACGCTTTACCATAGTAGTGCAGATAGATAGATACGACCTATAGTTGTACTTATGGTGGTATGAATAAGAAATTGGTCAATAAATTGAAAATATAGATAGGACGAATGGACGAATGGACGAATGGACGAATGGACGAATTGCACGTAACATTCAAATGTTTTACGTCCGAAAACTGAAGGCTATAGCAAACAAGATCATGTTATTTTAACCGTTTTGTTTCTTATTGTTTATTAAAAAAAATGTTGTGTCGAAAAAAGAATAATAAAAACAAGTTACGCGTAAAAATCGTTTGTTACATTTCATATTAAACGAAGGAAAGAGGACAACATTCATTCCAAAATGGTTTGGTTTGGTTATCAATGTCTGGAGAAAGATAATATACAGCTTGAACGAGAACATTTTTGAAGAGGAAAACAACTTTAAGACTCAAGTTATAATGTTAAGTAGACTAATAAGAAGGAGACACAGCTTAATTGGGCAGTGTACTCAAACGATTGAATTATGCTATTATAGTAAAGCTATTTGCGTTGTAACAACATCAAATTCACTTAAACATTGTATTAACGTCGTCTTCATATGTCATAGTTTTCTTGCTCTCACTGTAGTATAAGAAAGTGCCGCATTTCTAGGTAATTGTTTTGTGCGCTAGAACGGATTGGTAAAATGGAGGGGAGATTTAGAGTTTTATTGATCTTTTCCAGATCCTGAGTAAAATATCGATTTTAAGGAATTCAATGGCGTTTTAAAGTTCTCAGAATAAAACTGGTATTGAGATGGTTTTGAAAAATGTTACCCTGTGCTTGTGATGTCTGGATGAAGGGGTGGTGAAGGTTGAATCCGGAGAAACTGTATCCGTCCTTTGGGTTACTCGAGGAGAACACTGAGCAGAGGTTGGTTTAATCCTGATAAGTCTAGGATTGTCTCTCAAGGAACTTGAAGAAGACGCAATTGTTTCAGGAGAACTCAATCTGCTTGCTGATCTAGAAACATGAGAACTTGAACATTGTCTTGTTCTGTTAGTTTCTTCGGATTCAGAAGAATCTGAACCTTGCCTTGTTCTGTTACTTTCTCCGGATACAAAAGAATCTGAACCTTCTCTTGTTCCACTAGTTTTTCCGGGTACAGAAAAACCTGAAGCTTGTCGTGTTCCACTAGTTTCTCCGGATACAGAAGAACTTTCACCTTGTAGTGTTCCACCAGTTTCTCCGGATACAGAAGAACCTGAACCTTGTCTTGTTCTGATTGTTTCTCCGGTTTCTAAAGAACCAGAACCTTGCCTTGTTCTGTTAGTCTCTCCGGATACAGAAGATCTTGAACCTTGTCTTGTTCGGTTACTTTCTCCGGATACAGAAGATCTTGAACCTTGTCCTGTTCCACTAGTTTCTCCGACTGCAGAAGATCTTGGACCATGATTTCCTCTACTAGAGCCTTGCCCTTTTTTGTTTGGTTCTCCAGGGGCAGCAGAAACTGTCACCAAACTAAGGGTAACTGGACTTCGCCTTGGTTTTGTGTGTTTGACAGTGCCTAGAGAACCTAAACCTTGTTTTGGTTTGTTAGTTGCAAGAGTTACAAGTTTTTGTGTTCTAGATGATCTTTTACAAAGTTGACGCGAACCTGGAGTTGGGTTGTTAGATGTTCTCTGGTCAGGAGAATCTGAAACTACTCCTGGAGCAATAGGACTTGATCCTGGTCTTGTTCTATTAGATATCTTCAAAGAAGGAAAATCTGAACCTTGGCTTGATCTGCTGGATTCTCTTGGAGCAATAGGACTTGATCCTGGTCTTGTTCTACTAGATATCTTCAAAGAAGGAAAATCTGAACCTTGGCTTGATCTACTAGATGCTCTTGGAGCAGTAGGACTTGATTCTGGTCTTGCTCTGCTAGATACCCTAAGAGAAGGGGAATCTGAAACTTCTCTTGATCTCCTAGATACTCTCGGAGCAATAGGACTTTCACCTGGTCTTGCTCTGCTAGATATCTTTAGAGAAGGAGAATCTGAAACTTCTCTTGATCTCCGAGATGGTGTGGAAGCACTAGGACTTGACCCTGCTCTTGTTCTCAGAGCAGAAAAATCTAAACCTTGGCTTGATCTCCTAGATGCTCTTGGAGCAATAGGACTAGATCCTAGTCTTGTTCTGCTAGATATCCCTAGAATAGGAGAATGTGAAACTTGGCTTGATCTCCTAGATGTTCTCGGAGCAATAGAATCTGAACCATGTCTTGTATTTCTAGGTACTATTGGAGATAAAGCAATAGCATTCAGTCTTGTTGGTCTTATCTTTACAGAAGGATTAAACCTAATATATCCTCTTGTATGGGCTGTAGCAGAGGAGATATCTTCGGTAGGATCTTTCATTTTTCCCAACTATACCTTTGCTTGCCTCAATTCCAACCTAAAATAATATATATTTAGAAAACTATTTTGAAAATTAACTCTTTTTTGTCCCTTTACTCTAGCTTCTACGAATTCCTACGTGTGCAGGGTTACCCACAAAGGATGAAACAGTTAAACAGTAACTTTTTAAATATGACAATTCCTTGGTTAGATTAGGTCTTCTGCCTTTAAATGGCTTATAAGATGTTTTGACAACAATAGGCACAAATTTGCAGTTGCAAGGAGTCATGAATATAAGGAAACAGACCATATAAATTCCGTACAGTCGTCTCTGAAGTCTCATCCTATGTGGTTAGCCCTGTATCTAGTGAGCCTAGTTCAGCCTGGTACATTATTAACCCTGTATCTAGTGAGCCTAGTTTAGCCTGGTATATTATTAACCCTGTATCTAGTGAGCCTATTATTAAAACTTGTTTCTCTTCTATATTCTGAAGAGAGCGGAGAGAGGAGAATGTTTAGTTTGAATCCTTTGTCTAGGGTTAGAATAGAATACAAGGATTCTCAGCAAAATACAATTACTTGGCAAACTCTCAAGATGGGAAGTAATTTTCAGAAGAAGAGAGAGAGAGACTTTAAGA